TGAGAAGTACAGATCTTGTCAGACTCATCACAACTCTTTTTGATTGGGTCTTGCACTTGATGGGTTCCTGACACTGTGGTGTTGGTACTCTGTATGATTTACAATACAATTTTGAGTAGGTTTTGTTGTGGAAAGATTGGATACTAAAATTTAAATGATCTTTTTTTAAAACAAAAAAGAGATTTAAGAAGTTTAAAATTGTTTTGGTCATTAAATTTAAGTGAGACTGATACTACAGTGGAAAAAAACCAAATGAACATGTGTTTTTTTATGTATATATGAATATAAATTGAAGAATATTTAACAAAAGAATGAGTTTGGATGATGACTTCAAGTTTGGTGTGATAAGACAAAAAAGAAATAAGTTCTTCAGTCTCAAAAATATCAAACAAATCAAATTGAATGGACTGAAGAGGTGTATGGAGGAATTTTATGAAAGCTAATGTATGTGAAAGGGAAAGGACAGATATACTTTTGATTTGATAATATGCTCATGATAGGCTATATACCAAGAGTTTCTTGAGGAATTGAAGTCTAGACTGAATCTTTTTAGGGCTCAGCCTTTGGGTGGTTGATGGCTGAGAAGTGATAAGTGGATATTATTATATTCTGCCTGTGAGTTTCACATGATGTATGTCAGCAAGGGCATAAGCCGCCCCAACGGCATATCAAATTTCTTACAATGAACTTATTACATATTATTAACCTACATGTGATTGGTTATACTAAAGCAGGCAAAGATGTTTGGGCAAAACCCAAGGCTAAGTGCCAAGGATGATAGATTTCTGATGAAATTATAAAACACGCCTTATGGGGTGGCTAGCAGCCCATAAAAGACACTAAGAACAAAAAAACCAAACACAGTAAAACAACCTAATAAACCAGAACCACTAGAGTACTAAATAATGAACCTTAACAAAATAAAAGACAACTACTGCTACACTCCTTCTTTCTATCCCCTCTGTTTTTTTTAAAAAAATAAAAATAAAATGGAATAAAACACAAAGAATAAAAAATAAAATTGTTGCTCTTTCTGAAAAAAATAAACATAACAAACAAACAACAACATCAAATACCTCATGAGTAACCATAATAGGGACCAAGAGGGTGTGTGGGCGCAAAATATATCACTAGAGAAAAGGATAATCAAAGAGAAATTGATTGTGAATGCTATGGGAATGAAATACAGATGAAATTTGGAAAGGTGGTAAACAGCCATGACATCATGGCTATGAATCTAGAGATATAGACAAGTGTACAACCCATTAGTATAATTACACACCATGTTTAGAGACCCAAATTACATCACATTCCTATCTGTTAATAATCAATTACCAACAACTAATACTTAATTACATACAAATAAACACACATAATCATCAATTACATGAATAGTGCACAAACTGTTCATTTCTATCTCATCATGATTTTGTATTCAGTTATCCTTTTCTACTTAGTCTGTTTTCTATTTTTTCCCTTTCTACATGATATTTTAAAAGATATACATCATTCAAACAAACCCATTACACACAGATCAAATTGGAAGTTGACCCTGTGTGATTTTTTATGATAATCTTTCTAATAACCACATGTAGCCTTAGTTCAAGCAACTAAGTTGGATTGGGAACCCCACTTAGCAGCTGTTCATATGAAGCCAATCTTCTTGGTTTCTTGGCACATGATGGCTGCCAAGAAGGAAAATTTAGGGTTCTTGTGCTAAAAGGAAGGGTTGTTATAGAAAGAATTACACGGATGAATCAGGGTTCTACGGGAATAAAGATCATCACATATGCAGATCTTATTGTATCAATCAAAAGTGATCATCTACCGCTCAATGATTAGTTGTTCAAAGGAGCTGCTCACACTAACCTACTTGTTGCATTTGTCTTATTTTACTGTGCACTTGATTCTTGTTCTGACAGGTATATAAACCCCTGCTTCTGTCTTTTTTTATTTTATTCTTCATCCTTTACAATAACAAATCAAGTTTACATAGCTTTACCAATCAACCAATCTGTTCATATCAACCTTCAAAAGCCCTTACAAGTACTCTTTGAGCCCTTTTAAAGTTAGTAGCCACAGATCTGGTTCATCATTGCTATTTCTCTCTTTTATTACTATTGTCAGGCACTGTCCTACTATGTAAAACATATGTGATCAACCTGTAACATTTATCACTGTAAACATTATATATTATCCCCAACTAAGATTGGAAAAATGGTTAAAATTGTAGTTTTTTTTTGAAAAGACATATCACTGCACACCTGAGCCATAGCATCCACACTACATATGGGCAGCAGGATGAGAAAATTAGGAGCTATCATGTACATACAGAGCCACCCAGCTTTTGGCTCATCTTAATAAGTATATCATATGTAACACCTTCTGTAATTTTTTCCACCTTGTCAAAAACATTCCAAAAAATTGACTACATACACTGACTCAGAGTTTTGGTGTAATTCAATTGGCTAAACTCAGGTAACACCCATTCTGTTGCTGTTGAATGGCTTTCTGAGTATTGCCTGAGTAGCTATGAAGGTATATGTAGTCAATTTTTGAGACAAATTTGTCAAACTGGAAAAAGTTACATGATGTACCACATGTGATTTACTTATTCAGATGACTAGGGAACTGAGCAAACCTCTATGTACAAGATAGCTAACAATTTAGTCAGCTTGTTGCACATATGTAGTGTGGGTGTTATCAAGGCCGCCACAGATACGGTACCGGTATCGTATCGGCGATACCAGTACCGTAGCCGGCTGCACGATACCACATATTTGACTTTTGGGTATCGTATACGGCTCCGGATACGATACCCAGAACCGTATCGTCTCTAACGATACCATTCCAAGGTATGTGGGGTACCGTATTGCACAAAACAGAGCAATACGGTACGGCATCGTATTGAAGCCAAAATCCGGTGAATTAAAAGCCCAAATCGGCTTTGAATGATCCAAAGCAGGGAGATTTGGATTGGAAAGGGGATAGATGACTTACCAATCAGTCCGGATACTGCAACAACGGGGTATCCGGTATCGTATCGGAGGCTGAGTACGATACTAAATACCGTACTCTGATCGGCGATACCGCCAGAAATCATCTTGGGTATCGTAGCCGTAGCCCGGCTACGATACTCAGGGTACAATACCCAAGTGACCGGATACGGTGCCACACGATACCGATACTAGTATCGTATCTGTGGCGGCCTTGGTGTTATGGCTCAGGTGTGCAGTGATAGATGTTTTTATGACAAACTACAGCTGTTTCAAGAAAGATTGACAACTTTTTCTTGAAGAAAGTCGTCTCTGCAGTGGGTAAATACTGAGAAAAAACTTGATTATAGGTTTAATATTTTCTGTATTCCTTCAATTAGCGTAGAGACAAAACCAAGTGAGAGAAAAAACCCAGGTTTTGCACGTTGACAAGATTTTTAAAAGAATCAATTTTTGTTGAAACAGCTGTACAATAATAATCATTTTCCCATTCACACTTGGGGATAATTACAGTACTCAAAGTTGTCTATACTTTGCTGTACATAAGTGGCTCTCAAACCTTACCCAGTTTCAAAAAACCCGGTTGCCCCAGTTGAATTTTTGGCTGGGAGCTGTCAACAAATGTCAACTTGATACACAAAGTTACTGCCAAAAAACAACTGGGTCAACTGGGTTTTTTGAAAACCGGGGCAGGTTTGAGAGCCACTATAGTTTCTTTTTCTTTTTCACAACTACACACAGCCAGGAAAAACTATGTTTCTGGCTCAGAAGTACATATTTTTTAGCTTTGAACAAAAGACATACTTTTTCTGGGTTGTGTCTAGCTTCAAAAAAACAAAAAAAAACTATACATGGCAAAGTATACACAACTTTGAGTACTGTAAATGTATAATGCTTACTGTGTATATATCACCTATTACATGGTAGTTTCCTTGCTCAATATGCTTCCTTATTGACAATGTAGGTCATGTTTTCTTTTTGACTTTGTTAATACTTTAACTGCTGAAGTTCTAGATTTTTGAACTTTTCAGTTGATCATGATCTCAAATATGTATTATAGTTTTTGTAATTTTACACTAGCACAAAGTTTAACTTGGGCTTAAAAGGTATTCATGGATGGAGATTGGCTTACATTTGGGATCTTATAAGAACCCAGGCCTGATTTATGTAGTGGGAGCATCCACTATGGTTGTGTTACCAACATGATTTAGCATTGGTTTAATGCTAAAGGACAGACAGGTCCACTATGGACCCGCTTTAGACCTGCGATCCCTACAACCACATCAAATCTTGCTCCCTGTGTGGTTACTAAGGGTGCATTCACTTAAAGGAATTTCTGGACAGAAATTGCATTCTGTAAATTTTAAAATGCAAAAAATCAACTATACTCCACCAAACCAGGACTTTATATTTTGCAGACTAATATTTGAATTTCTGAACAGAAATTGCCTAAGTGAACACACCCTATTAGTTGCTGACCCCACATGGAAGAGGTATCTGCTGCTTTCACCTCGAATGTGCTCCACAATGGTTTGTTTTGCAAAAGCTTCACAGCTCCATCAAGTTTGATTGATTGATCAAAATTTGATGAACATAAGTGCCAGTGGTGACCATAAGTTGGTGACCCAATTTTTATAAATTGCTCACCAACACGTTAGTTACCCACACACTGACTTTTTGATGTCAGATGATTTGTTAAAGTTAAGTGAGTTGTTGTTTAAGATTGGGGCTTAGATAGACATATGATAAATTTCAATTCAATCATCAAAACTCATTTGAAACATCCATTTTTGATTTTTTTAGTCTTCCATTTTTTTTGATGATTAGATATGATATATACAATTTATACAAATCACATGGTATAGTGTTGTATGTAATCTTGTCGATCGGTGTAAAGTTGCCAATATTTTATGGAAAAGAACATTGACTGACATCCACTTTAAATCATCGGTGTTAAGATAAGAATACAAGATCAAGTCGGTCGGTTGAGAAGAAGATTGGTTTAAAATGCTTATGAAACTTTCTTTGAAGTTGAATGTTCTTGTGATGTTGATGAAATGCTTGATTAATTATTGGTCTCGGTCGGTAATGAGAGAAATGGTCATGTATGTAGCGCCAAAAGAAGAAGTTAAAATATACAAACCAATTGATTATATATTTTTAAAAGATCATGAAGGAAATTCTTTTGATTAAGTAAGTATGATGAGATGAAAGAAGTTTTAGAGTGTCAAGTTGAATTATCCAAGGAAATTGAAGGTTCTACTTCTTATGTAGTTTTCTTGATTTCGAATTTTATTCTTCGAGTCAGTGAATTTAATACTCAAGACTGAACACAATACAGTAACACAACATTTCTCATTAGAATTTCACATTCAGTATTTGGTTTTCACTTTATCAAAGTCTCTTTTCTTTTCTTTTCTTCAATCCATCCAACCCATCCATAGCCATCCATCCATCCCATCAAACCATCAATTCCTCATCCGATGTCTGGTTTCGAAGTCACCAGTCGAACTCAGACTCACAAGCAATCTCAACCAACAACATCCAATCTATCAATTTACTCAGTTTAGTAATCTTTCTTTTTCATTTTCTTTTCTCTCTTCAATCACTCATCAAACTCATCAATCTTCTCTTTCAGTCATCTAATTCAATCACTTCACCTTCACTTCATGCATTGCCTAGTCCTCCTCTTCATCGTTCCTCAATCATCTCCACCGATTCATCAAGACATTCTGATTCAATCGATCCAAGACCTCCTAGGATTCCTTCGGGTTCTCAAGTCTTAGTCACTCGTGATAGCGATGCTGCTTACTTTGTTGACTTATCAGCTTCTTCATCTCCTGCTGCAATCAAAGAACGGATCTATGCAAAACTTGGAATCTATGATGATGAACATGCTACTTGTCGAATCTCGAGATCTAGAGCTGGTCAACCGATTGGTTTACCATTAGACGATTGGCAACTTTGGGATCTTTGTATGAGGTCTAATCAAGATTCAGATCCACCAATGCTCATCGTCATCTCTTCGACTCTTCCGATCACTACCAGTTCTCCTTTCACACCTCATTCAGCTCATTCATCTCAAACATTACCTCCTACTTCAGCTCATCGTACTGCCATTCATTCACCTCACTCTCCAGAATCAATCACTCATCCGAAATATGACACTTATACTTCTTCTCCTGGCAGAGAATCTCCTGAATTCGGTAATAGCCTTCGTTCTAATCGCTCACGCTGGCCACATTCAAATTCATCTCAATCCATTCCTAATCAGCCTTCACTAGCACCTCACTCTCACTTACCTTCCCATACCTCCCCTCGCTCTCCTGCCTTCAATGATGAACGTCAAGCCTCTGCCCTTATGGCTATCACTTCCTCAAACACACCTTTTGAGATCCCTAGTTACCTTCTTCCTCGTCAAGGCAAGGGCCCTTCGACCGAACACCTAGAAAATCGGATCTCCCCCCGTACATCTGCAGGTCACAATTCTAGGACTGAAGCCAACTCTAGAACTCATGCTCTGCATGATCGTCGACCATCAGAACCTGCCCCTCCTCATATTCTGTCTCCCTCTCAGTTCGCCGATGGCCGTCCTGACTCTCGAGTAGCTGATCCTTCACGGTCTCGTCTTCCAAACGATCATATACCCTCTTCATCTAGTCGACGTGATATGCAAGCAGCCAAAAGTATGGACGATTTACGTCATCACCATGATCATCCACATTGGGCACTACCTGGTGCTACTCATCCACCTCTACCAGGTACCGAAAGACCTCCTAGTTCTAATGCTACGATTTCTGGTCGAGCACCTGCTCCATTACGCATACCACGCAGTAACAATCATTCAGGCCAGAGCAGTGAGCTTATCACCCAGCGTTCCCTACAACTTTTGCCTCAAACTTCATCCTCTCGAGCTGGACCCAGTCACCCGAATTTAGCTCCTACTGTGGCGTTTCCCCAACCTACTCCCCTAAGGGGACGTGCACCTGGTACACCGGGTTATGGAGTTCGACCTAGTTCCTCATCTGGATATGCGAGAGCTGAACTCAGAGGTCAGACCGTCTCATCGGCTCGTCAACAAGCTCTCCACGGCTTTGTACAACACCCGCAACCTCCTCGTACAGCAGTACCGCTCTCGAATGATCATCGCTACTTGGAGCCTGTAAGGAATCCACATTGGTCGTCTGAAACCACCCCGAGTCGAGCTACTCATTCCTTGGGTCAGTTACTCCATTGTTTTGTACGCAATCTTGAAACGAAGATGTCCCTATCTTCCTAGCTGCTTGTCGATGCTTTTGCTAACCTGCTAACCTATCAATGAATTGCGTGATCTCCAATCCTTAACCAACGAATAGAACGTCCCATGCAAGCTCCTCTTGCCACCCAAGCTCATATTCAACAGGCTGTAAGTCATTCAGCTCTTCAGTGTCGACCAGGTGATGTACTACAGGATTCATTCCAACAAGGAGAGCACCGTCGAGAACGTGTTCGTGAACTTGAACCTGAGACCGACCAAGCTGGTGTCAGGCGTACTAGACCCAATCCCACCCCGAACTCAAGTATGAGTGCTTCTCTACCACCTCGCATTCGACCTGTCAGCCGTGCATTGAACGCTTACAGCCTTCCACCTCGTCAACCATCTTCCCCAGCACTGATTAATAGCAGTCAGCGTCTAGATGATGTAGCCCCAGCTACTCAACGAACGGGCGAAGATTTTTCTTTAACGCCTGGACGAGGAGCTTTACGAAGGCCACCACATCAACACAAGAGTGCGAGCAAGGCTAGTTCTGTACGATCTTCTGATTCGTCCCTTCACTCACCTCTGTCTTCACGATTGGTCACAGAGGAATTTGGTGAGCGAGGTTATTATCATTCACCTCGGCATGGTCTCGATAGGAAGTCCCATACACGACGACCTAATTCGGCCCGTAGCTCACCTAGTAGTGACTGTATAAGCCCAGCAACTGAAGTCAGCTTATTATCTTCAACAGCCGGTCAAAAGGCACGATTCGAAGACTCATCATCATCATCGTTGAAAGATCTTGGACTTGGCACTCCCGAAGATCATTCGTCTTCTCAACTCGCATATATCTCAGGAGATCTTGAATCACCATCAGGTCCACTCATCTTGACTCCCACTCTGCTGCCACAACGTTCAAAAGAAAACTCACTTCGTCAATCGGGTCAAGACGGTGGGTATGGAGACGAAGGTGTTTCGACAGTACGTGCAGATGAGCTCTCGAAAGATCTAGCAGCCAGATTCGACCAATTGCAAACGGAATCAAGCATGGTCACTCGACCATCGATAAGTGATACGACAGCTACTCGAAGCCCGACCTCGACATCTATTTCTAATGGTACATGGCGTACGAGTGTCTCTTCAAATCCAACCACTGTTCACTCTAGTGGTCCGGAACTTTTCAAAAATCAGAATCCTTTTGGAATCATTGAGGATGATGGAGATGATGAGTTGGTGGGAACATTTGTAACACCAATGAAACCTTCAATCATAACCACAACAGCTCCTTTATCTACCGGTAAACCCAAGTTGACCTTAAAGACTGATACGGCTGATGAACGTCCTGTACGCCCACCTCGATTGGCTCCACCCACCAATATCAATCAGCATCATTCCTCTAGCACAAGTACGAGTAGTCTGATGATCCCAAGTGCGACTAAACGCGATGGAGATCGGAGGACTTCGTTCACTGGCGATGATTGGGCAGTTAGACCAGCAGTTGATGAAGTTTATGAACATTTAGAAGAATTCTTCCCACATCATGATCTAGATAAACCTATTGATATTGGACCATTACCTCCATGTTCACCTATCAGTCCAACCCCATCACCATCACCACAACCTTCAAGATTGAATGGTAGAGCTCGTTCGATCAGAGTGGTAGCGCAAGAAAAGAAAAAGCTATTGAAGAGAGGTGGACCGATGAGTTCGAATGCATTGAGTGCTGGTGATATCAGTAGTGCTGTTGGAAATGGATCTCAGAGTGCTTTATTAAGAAGGAAGAGTACAAAGCTATGGGGTGCTAGGATTGAGGAAGTCGTGCCTGGTTCTATGAATTTATCGATCCCTGCTTCGATTGATGAAACTCATTCTGCTGATCGATATGAAGATCCGGACAATTGTTTGTGTTTTCTTGACTGTTTTCATCTTGAAAGACTGAACTTTTGTGCTAAATGAATTTCCTTTGGATTCTTAGTTTCGTTCAAATGGGTGAAGGGTGAACTGATCGGGAAAGGAAGTTTCGGTCAAGTATATCTGTGAGTTTCTTCGATTATCTCTGTGGCAGGAATGTAGTTGATACTTAAATATAAATGACTCTTCCTTTTCCAAAGAGCACTGAATGCTACAAATGGTGAGATGTTAGCAGTGAAACAAGTCGAATTACCAAAGACAAGAAGTGATCGAGATGATGAAAGACAAAAGAGTGTAGTTGCAGCACTTAAATCTGAAATTCATTTGATGAGAGATCTGGAACATCCTAACATTGTTCAATACCTTGGTTAGATCGTTTATTCTGCTCCTTTCTTTTATGATTCTTAGACTAATCTTTTGATTTTGGTGTCACAAAACAGGTTTTGAGGAAACGACAGTCTATTTGAGTATTTTCTTAGAGTATATTCCTGGTGGATCTATCGGACGTTGTTTGAGAAGACATGGTGCATTTGAATTGAATGTGATCAAATCTTTTACTTCACAAGTTCTTGAAGGATTGAAATATTTACACAGTCTTCATATCTTACATCGGGTAAGATTTTTTTAAAAAATTAATTAAATCAATCAATTCCAAGTAACTCATCTCAATTTCTTTTATATGATTTTGTTTATTGATCTTGAAATAGGATTTAAAAGCTGATAATTTATTGGTAGATTTAAATGGAAATTGTAAAATCTCGGATTTTGGTATTTCCAAAAAATCAGATAACATTTATCAAGATAATACACAAATGTCATTACAAGGTTCGATTTTTTGGATGGCACCTGAAGTCGTACATAATCCTGGAAAGAAAGGGTATAGTGCCAAAGTAGATATTTGGTCGCTGGGTTGTGTTGTTTTGGAAATGTTTGCTGGTCGAAGACCTTGGAGTGATGAAGAAGCTATCCAAGCTATGTTTAAGGTTTGTGGTTTTTTCTTTTCTTTGGGGGGGTTCGGTTGGTGATCATATGATGAAAGTTGATTGATGATGTTTTTCCAATGGGCGATATGGTTGAAATTTTTGAATAGTTGGGAGCTGAAAGACTTAGACCACCTGTACCTGATGATGTGAAATTGGGTAGAATGTCGGATCATTTCTTAGCTCAATGTTTTATCGTGTATGTCTCAAACGGGTTTTTTTTTCGAAGAATCTTGATGTTCTTGCGAATCATTCATAATTGATGGAGTTTTTTTTTTGAATTATTTTTTTATTGGGTGGTTGGTTTTCTTAGGGATCCTGAATTAAGACCTACGGCTGATAGGTTAACTGATCATAGGTTTTTAGAATTAGATGATAAGACTTGGAGGTTTGAACATTCTGAATTATATAGGTTTGTCTTCTACTTTGTTTTGTTTTGTTGATCATTGGAACTTTGAATTTAACTTGAATTTTTTTTCTGGATTAGGTCTATCAGAATGCCTGGTTTATCTGCCGGTTAAAGAAAAGAAAAATGTTAACATATACATAGTAGATATGATGGTTTTTTTTCTTCTGAGCTGAATTGATTTTTTTTTGGTTTTTGCATGGTTTGAATTTTGGTTGGTGTGTTTCTGATGATTGAGGTTTGAATATCAATGTGAATATGTTTTTTGTTTTCTTTAGCACAAAATCTTTTCATTACCAAAAAATTCCTATCATTTTCTTTTTTTCTTTCATTTTTTCTTTCTTTGATTTTAACTTTTTTTTAGCAAGTGTGATTTTTTTTAGTAATGGCAAAAAAAGGGAAAAGTAATAATTTTTTTTCTTTTGCTTAGGTTAGGTATTTTTTTTTTTTGGAAAACGCATTGTTCACAATTCTTTTGCTGTGATATTATAAAACATATACATACATATACATCTATATATACTTTCTTTTTTGTCTTTGTGTAGATGATTTTTTTTTCTTTTTGATATATGGTTTATGAAAATGCATTTTTTTTACATTTTGTTTTTTTCTTTCTTGTAAGTAGTACAAAGTGAAAAAGTTTATAAACAAAGAAAATAAAGTTGAGATGATAATTATAAAAGAAAGAAGGAATTTTTTGATTGGAATTTTTCTGCTGAAGTTGGTTTGATGAATGTTTAGGAGTTGAAGGTGTTTTTGATTCAACGTACTTGGACCTTTGATCATTTTGGTCTTATGAGGATTTAGTTTACAAAGAGATCTTTACTGTGTGGCTAGATCATCTTCAAGGTCTTGAGTTTTGTCCTTTTGAATAAACTTCATTTAAGAGAGGTGATTTTGTACATTTGCTTTCATTTAATTGATCAGCACTGTGACTTATTGGAATCAAAAAATTCATGTGATCATTGAGATTTGAATCTGAGAGAACTCTGTGGATTTATGCCTCTTTTGAAGGAAGAAGATCAGGCCAATTTTTAGGTGGGCTTGAAGGCGGCCTGAAGCTTGGCTGTTGTATCATGGTTGCCAAGCATCTGCTACATGTCAGTGGAATTCAGCTAGTGTTGGCATGCAGACTTTCTGTGAAGTATGAGAATGTATAAGTGTTTTGGAACACCCTAAGCACCTGCAAAAATCTGATAATAGTGCTTTGAGTGAGATGGAACAAAGGATCTTACTTCCTCTATCAGTATTGGGAAAGGTGCTGATCTACAACAGTAGAAAAGATATCAAGCAAAGAAAAGAAAAGGGAATTATAAGTCAAGTGAATATAAGAATGAAATCTTATATCTAATGAGGAAAGAAAATTACAGCTGTCTCAAAAATAAATCTGGCTGTCATTGTTTTTTTTTCATATCTGTGGTTTTCAATCTGGTAGGAAAAGCACAGAAATGGCTGATGACACAGCCCAAGGTTGATTCACATTGCTTGCTCAAAGCCAGCTTCAACCCTTGATGCCAACACTTGAACTGGCTTGAGCTTGCATGAACTCCATTTTGGATCCCAATTGGGATAAATAACCTGGCACGCCAATTGACCATGGATATGAAAAATGATAATCAAAAACAACAGCATCAACATTTATTTCCAAAACAGCTGTAGTACAAAAATTAGACAAGTATATATAAGTGTGAATGAAAATTAATCAAATTGATTGGAGTAAAGTATTTCCATATGGTTAAACTGTATCTCCAATCATCATGCCACATTTTGTCAATCCTATCTTTTAATCTTTTTATGTACTCATTTATTTTCTAACCTCTTAAAATCAATTTTTCAATTGAACACCAACAAAGTATGGTCTGCTGGCAGAGGTTATACCAGGCCATCATTTGAATTCTACAGACCATCCATCAAGGGTCAAGTGATTCAATTTTTTAATTAGGAGTTTGTTGATTGAGAAGGAGCAAGACACTCAGCAATATCATTTGTATATGGGCAAGAGGACAGTCAAATCAATTTAATTGCTTAACAATACATCAAATATTTGTAATTAGAATTAGATGAAGGGGATAATTGGGATAAGGCAAAATTTGACCAGATTCTTGTGCACTGATAGCAGGTTTTCAACTCTTGAATCTGTTTGAGTGTGAGTGCTATGCTAGAAGATGTCACTTGTGTAACAATTTGCCAATCACATTGTGTATGGTGTCTCAAATGGATAAATGAATAATTTTGAGACAAGGACATGACAAAATGTAAAAAAACTGGTTTTAGTACTGCAAACACCAGAAAATGGGTGCCTGGTCTCTAAGGGGTAGATGAAATTGGTCAAAACAATAATAAGTTTGATGCTTACAGGTGGTGGACTTTAATTGGGCTTAGCCAATTCAACCTTGATAGTCTCATCTGATGGCAAGGTGAAGGTGTTATTCTTATCTTTGATTAGTGATCAAAAGATCTTTGTACCATATAGCCAAAAATTGCATGGCCCTCTTCAAAAATTGCGTCATAGAAAATTGATTTGATGTGTAAACTTTGTATGAGGATTACCATGATTGGTGATGGGGTTGAAAGATCTTAAATGGTAAAGACTTGCCATGCTGTGTATCTTTTCCCTTGCACTTGTCAATGTTCAAGTTTGTCTATTTTTAAATTGAGGGGCTGGTGCCACCCTAATGATCTGTCGTCATTGGACAAGTCGGTCCATTCTCTCTCTGCAGGCATTACTTTTGCTCCTTCAAAAATTATGCAAAGGGACCAGAAGCAAGAAAATTGGCTGGATGAGATTGATTTTCCAAGTATGTGCAAGTCTTTCATTACAAAATTGTTCTTGATTAAATCTAAAGTTGTATCCTGTCAAGTCCATATGAAACCAGTTTCTAGTGCTGTTTGTATGCAAGAAGTGTGAAGTAGTGAGGTAGACTATTTGGTGGTTAAGATTGTGGGTAGGAAAAAGGGCTGAACATTAAACACAAGACAGGTGTATGTATTAGGGCGGTTCAAGTAGACATTTTACAACATTTTTTTAAGTTTTACGTTCCGTCCGGGAACCTTAAAATTTGTCTTTATTTATAAGTCAGTGATTCACCTTAAGAGGTGGTTCACTGTTTTGCGGTCACCTAAGTCGCTTTAAAATTCATAAAATTTTGCTCTACAAATCAAATGAAAACAGGGCAACACAACCCCAAAAAAAAACTCCGTGGTACCTTTCTTTATTTTCTTGGCCCTGGATATATATTTTTTTGGGTTCTTTTTTTTCTTCACCTCTTTCATTAACAAACTCAGTCGAGCAAAAAAAAACCCGCAACCGCCAAAACCAAGTCTTTCAACGGTGTATACCCACATCATCGCAAAATTTCTCAATCTGGACCACCGGCTTCCTGCATCAAGACGTCTCCTCCAGTCACCCCGCGTCTGCAACTGATCACGCAAGTTTATAGTTCCTTTCAGGACTCTGATCACCAAGCAATCACTGGCTTCAAACAACTTCAGGACTCTGATCACCAGGTATTCACTGGCTTTGAACAACGCATGAAGCGCGCGCGTGGGTCAGTCCATGTGACTTCAGGTCTTTCATCCACATATCAAATCATACTCGCGATTGCATACTACTTAAGCCTGCTACCTCAAGTGAGTCACCTTTCCATTTTGTTTGACTAAATATCATTTTGTTTTCATTTCAGGTTGAATATCAACATCTTCAATTTTCTCTCGAAATATCATTCGGTTTTCATTTCAGGTTGAATATCAACATCTTCAAATTTCTCTCGTTCGCTATTGCTATCTTCTCCATCGCTCTATCATACCGCTTGTGCTATCATTTGGATCTTTGGAATGGCGCCTCAATCACAACAGTCAGCCCAGGTGCGCGGTGATGCATTCCTATTGAACAATCTGTCCCACGGCCTACTGTCTGACCCTGCCTTGATTTGTAGGGCACTCGTCGAACTTGTCGCACCAAGGCCCAGATTGAAGAGGACCTTCTGGCTGCTGGAGTACCCACTGGCTCAAAACCGACCCCAGCTGCTGTAAGGCGATCTCGAATGGCGGCGACGGAACGAGATCGTATGGCTTCTGCGAACGCGGGCACGAAGTCGACTAGGGATAGCCCAACCTTGGACCACGTGGACTATCAAACAATCATAACTTACCTTTCCAAGCCGCACATTCGAAACGCCCTGTTCGGTGGTGGTAGCCACACCAGAGTTTCTGGCCAGCCGATGAATCCCAGATCGCTTTTGAATCCGCTCGCCATCAAGCTCAATAACAACTACAACATCAGGCACAATACCACGGTGATGCAATTGAATGGCCGCATCCTCTACCAGCGACTCAAACGGTACAAATCCAAGTACGCCTCCGCCAGAGCTTTCAGTATCAAGACTGGCAGTGGCCTCTCTGCCAAAAATGTTGCCGACGGAATTCATATGATGGAAGATTTGCTAGAGTCCATGTGCCCATGTTACAAAGATATGGATGCACTATTCCATGATAAAGGGAATGTGACTCCGTTTGGCATCCTCGACAGCGGCGTCGGGCCGAACTCTTCGGACAAGGACAACAGCGATCACGGTGATGTCCCAGCAAACGCGGTGGGTGCCAAACATGTATCTGATGGGGAAACTACCGATGGTCACGACCATTCGGCAGTTTCCCCGCGCCAAGGTCGACACATCGGACCTGGTAAGTTTAATATGTTTCAAATGAAAACTCACTATGAGTCTGACCCAAAACTAAACATTTTGATACATTTTTACCCAGCTGCGCTGAATGACAAACATGTGAACCACCCTCTTGTCAACCGCATGTCAGGCGATGAAAGCGAAGGCTCCCACGCGGCCGATTTGGCCACTTCAACTGCGAAATCTAATCCCCTCAACAAACACTACCGTTCCTTGCTCAATGAAGAAATCAGCCTCAGTTCTCCACCTCCCACCCCGAAAGAACCAACCAACGCAAAAGAAACAAACGAGGCCTTCAACGTGATCAAGCCTGTCAAAGCTTCCAAACTGCCCGTTCGCCGAGTCTCCAAACCTTATGATTGCAAGCTGGCTCAACTTACCCCTGAAGAACTCGCCTTGGACGCAAGTTCTGAAGACGAAGGTTCGATGGCTGTCGAGGCCATCAATGTGATCAAGCCTGTCAAAGCGTCCAAACTACCTTTTCGCCGAACCTCTGGCCCAGGCCGAGTGTCCAAACCTTATGATCGCAAGCTGGCTAAACTTACACCTGAAGAACTCGCTTTGGACGCAAGCTCGGAAGACAAAGCTTCGATGGCTGTAACACCCGCTACGCAATCGCGCGGAGGATCTCGCGCGACTCTTTCACGTCGCGCTCTGAACCCTTTACCTTCCATCAACCCATCGACTGTCCATAGCAAGGAAAACAAGCATTCACTCGCGCACGCTTTGAAAGAAGGGAACAATGCAAAGATCCAAATGCTTACCGAAGCTAATGAGTGGCGCCAGCGATTCGAATCCAATCGAATGCGAGCAGATTCGGAGGCACGCACATCTGCCTTGAGCTGGGATAAGGAGAGATATTTCCTTGATCGTCAAGAGCAGCGCGACGCCGAAGCACGTCAATTGGCCAAAGAAGTTCAAAAGGAGCGTAGCACGTTTTGTCAACGTTTGGTCATGGAAGGCAAAACACCTGAGGAGCTTGAGGCTTACATCCGCCTGATATACCCAGAGAGTGAAGCAGCTTAGTTGTAATTTGGTTGGATGCTCATTCGAAATTCTTCGGCGAAGTATCTTATCTGTATTGCTTGACTTGTTGTCATTTCCGTTCTCTGTCCTTTTTCTCTCTATATTGTGTATTATCTTGATCGCAATGGCTCGAATCCCTTCTCTCTGTATTGTGTTCTCTGTATCGTGTACCTGGTCTTTCACTTTCTTCTCTTTCTATGAAATTTGACCTCGCGAAGTTTACCTGAACTTGGTTGTTGTTCAGCCTTTGGTGATATCTATGAAATTTGACCTCACGAAGTTTCTAAAAGCCTCTCTCGGAACTTGGTTGTTGTTCAGCGTTAGGTGATTTCTATGAAATTTTACCTCGCGAAGTTTCTAAAAGCCTCTCTCGGACTAATTACCTATCTTTGAGATGAATTTGCTGAGGATCTACATGCCTCACTCGGAAAAAGTACCTTTCTAAGTACCTTTCTTTGAGATTGATTTCCTGAGCCATGTTATTATGGGAAGAATATGGCGAGAACAACTTTTTTCATTATCATCTTTGAGACCCACAAAGCAAGAAAGAACAGAGACAACAACCACAAACGCAGAGAAAGACAACAACTTCATACAGCATGAGGACCAAGAAACAAAACCACGCTACACACACACGGAGAAACGCGAAGTTACAAATAATGGAGATATGACACAAAAAAAAAAGATTCGAAGTGAGGAGTAAATCACGCAGAGCTCAAGATACAATCGGAAGGCCCCCAGATTCCCAATTGTAGGCCACTGCATAGTCTCGCACTTCCTCACGCTTGGCCCTCCCTTGCTCAATGACCGCAGGATCCGCAGTTGAACCACCTTGGAAACGACCGGCTTCACCAGGTTCGGGCAGAAGTAATTCCCCATCGTCTTCTTGCCAAGTATTGCCAAGATCCGCCAGCATATTATGTAAGATAATGCAGGCGCGGACCCATTTGAGGAGATGTTCCATATCCTCACGACGATTCAAAGAAAGCCTTAAACCTTGCAGCGAGGCCCAACAAGATTTGAGGATCCCAATACAATGCTCATTGCGCACGCGTGCTTTGGCCACACACCAATTGAAGTCCTTATTCCTGTTGACTTTGGCAGCCTGGCCCTTATACGATGGCACCACGGTTTCGGATGGCACGTAAGCAGAATCCGCAACGATGTATTCTCCTGGCAAACCAAGCAAAAACAATCAGACAATGATCATGAGAATGCAAATGGAAAAACCACGTGGAAACATACCTCGATCAAAATATCGCTCCGGGTGAATGGCTATCTCCGTTTTAGAATAAACGGTGCTGTCACAGCAAGACCCAGGCCACCCAGCGTATGCATACGTAATCCTCCGGTCACAGTCACAAATGATCTGCACGTTGATTGAGTAACGATGCTTTCTGTCAAAAAAGACCTCACCGTCTCGGCCAGGCCGCTGGAAAAGAGGTACTGTCGTTCCGTCCACAAATCCCACACAACCTGGGAATCCGTCACGCGCCAGCACAGTTGAGATTGCCTTGCGCCTATTCGAATTTGGCCAACTGAGATAGTGTCCTCCTACTTCTAGAATAGCGTGAATAACCCGGCGGGTACAATTGATCACTGAGCCATGAGCCACTTTGTAGTTCCGAGCGAAACGTCCCACAGACGCACCGTTCCCATTACTGCCGAGTCTCTCCAAAGTGATGGCCAGTTGCTTCTCAACCGGAGGCTGAGGATTGTTGCTTGAATAGATGAATACAGGGTTGTCTTTGATCAAATCGAGCAGCGCTTGAAACCCTTCTGGGGTGGTTCGCATTGCCTGACGAAAATCAGTCCTTCGCGAGCGTAGCATATCGCGTAAGTCGAAGGGCGTGGCCAGAGGTGCCCTTATACGGTGAGTCAGATAATGTCTTGATGTGACATGAGCAAGCAAATCGCCCCATTGATCTTCTTGAGCAAAGAGCTGATTGTACAAATGAGCCATTTCGGGAAACTCGCTGAACAGATGGTCACCTTCTGTTGGGTTGTTGGGATCGGGGCTTTCTCCTGGGAATCTTGGGTCCGAATCCATTTGGGCAGACACACAAAGGTGAGTCAGGTCTCGTAATACAGAGACCCTTTCGGAAATGCAGGGCATATTTGGGTAAGAGGTTATTTGAGGATGAGGATTGTGTTGGTATGTTGGCAAATGAGATAGAAGAGGAATGCAAAAGAAGGAATGAAATGGGGCAATTTGGTGGAACTATTTCCCTGACTTATCTCGTCAAAAGCTAATAAAATGAATTCCATTTCAATCACATGAAATGAAAGATGTTCGAGCGAAGAAAAAAAGATGCTTGACCTAGGAAAACCCTCAGGGGAAACCAAAAAAAAGACCATTTCAAAAAGGTGGACCTGATTTTAGGTTGCTTTAAAACCACTTTTTACAGCGTTTGTGAACAAGCGGACAAGAAATTTAAGGTGCGAACGACGTTAAAAATCAGTTCGGGACTTGGCGCCGCAAGTGATCGCGGTTTGCTACTTGAACCGCCCTATTTAAAACAACACTGCTTTAATTTTGAATAAGAACTGCTTTTGATGAGAAGTGATTTACATCATTGTGCAAACAATGCAAAACAAAAAGTATAATGTGATTGGAGTAAAACCAGACCAAAAGTGCAAAAAGAAGCACTGGAAATTACTGAGCCCCATTGTTTACCATGACCACATGAAAAAAGGATTTGACCAAAGACCAAAAGCATTGCCACCTATTGCAGTCCAAATTTAAGTTACCATGATACAGTGTGTTTTTTCATAAAATCCAACAATAAGACATCTTCATTGATCTTTTTATTCTGAAAAGTTTGTCTAGTCAATAAAACCAACTTCTTTGTATTTCAAATCAACAATGAAACCAAATTTTTATGGTGATCTGAGCAAATCAATCCAAAACGTAGAGTGTCATGATTATAATTTATATGCAAATGAGAAAACAAGTGAGAACTTGCACATCTTTTGTTTTCTTTTTGCCCAAGGCTTAGAAGTCTGTGAGTGCCAAACTACCACACCCTTCTCAATAGCCTCATTCCAATCTTTGTGTGTGGGAGACAAACATTTCAACACAGAGGCCTTTTGATGAGATTTGTCAGCCATGGAATTTGACAAGCTTCGACTGCATCTCATGGGTTGCGGGCTCGGGGCTGAAACCGGTGTTCATCCAGGTCCCAGTGACCGGCGAACTCAAGTCCATCCTGCTCCAAGCTTGCGTGTTGATATACACCACAGGGGTGTTTTGCCCACCTGCAGGCGGTCCATCCAGGCCACCGGGAGACGGTCTGCCCTTCTGCAAAGGTAGGCGGTCTCCAGGTGGCCCTCACGCGCGACGTCGGGCAGGCACCTGCTGGGCTCGCCGGTAGGCTGGCTTGCTTGCGCCCGCTGGCGGGCTGTGATCTGCCTTCCGTCCATCAAAAAAGCAGTTGTACACAGTATGTACATTAAGGACAGAACCATGTCGTAGTCCTCAAGCAGATACACTACACGCAAAGTGCTGACGCCGCGGGGCCGGTCTTTTGAAAACTCCCGCGGGGTCAGCTGACCCCTTGTACGATATGGATCTGGGGTCAGCTGACGCCAATCACTGCTCACCTACATATATACACATCACTCACGATCGATTCTTCCAACGATTCCTTCAAGACGAGATCAACATCGCTTTCAACCAATCATCGAACTGTCCATATACCAGCAAGGTGATCAACGCTGACCGGATTCAGTGCTCTGATCACCTTGTGGCCATTGAGATAATCACAACCGGATTTGTGACCTCATTGTCTTGGTTGAAGACTCTTTGCCTCTTCGATTTACAACGCTCGAATCGACTCATGCCTGTGACAGTGTACCCGTCAACATCTGAATTACCATCGCGCCTTGGACACTTTCAGCACAAGTTCATACAGCACCGACTTCTTTTCAGATTTACAAACTATACATCTTTTTGTACAAATCTTTAGCTACCAATCTTTAGCTCGTTTTTCAGGATCGGGATCAATTGAAATGACCACATCCACGATCTAACCCCTTTACATTGAATGTCATCCTGTAAACCGTTGACAAGATCCAAGATTAATCAAAATTCAGAAATCAGCTTTGTTTCATCAAACCCAAAACATAAACCTGATTGGAAAGTAGCTGTTTGGCCTGTGTGTTGTCGGCCTCTGAGCTACGAACCAGTGGGTCATAAGGCCTTCTATCAGTCAGTTAGGTGTTCCCTAGCTTTGGTCAAACATTGATATTAATTAAAATTTCACCCAAAGATTCAAAAGACCCTGGAATGCGACTTCATCTTCTGAACAGTTACACTATCGTGGATGTCTCAGCTCTCATCAACCTTCTATCCTTGAGGACCCTTGTCAACAACATATACGAAGGCAAACGATTGCTCCAAACTTGTCAGTTCCCTGACTGGAATCACAAGAATTCACCACTCGACCTACATACTTTGACCTTCTTCATGACCAAGTTAGGAAGTTTCAAAATTTCAAACCTCTGGGTCAGGAATCTCCCCAAAGGATTTCTCAAAATCATTCGTTCTGACATGTATCCAACATTGGTATGAGGGAATTGAGACCCTTGCAAAATGCTCATGATTGGTGAGTAATATTCTGATAGTTCCGATTTCTTCCACATCTGCCATCCCACTTGCTTAAAAGCTGAGTTTGTGTCTATTGCTCGCTCTATCTCCTGAACCACCCCTTTCAATCCGCTCGCTTGATTTCACATTCATTTTCCAATTCATTTGCTCTTTCCATTAGCCTGCTTTACTCTTTTCGTCAAAACCTTAATACAAACTCTTTGATAAATCCTTAATATCTTCTCTTGATCAAAACATTATCAATCAATTGTTTTGCTTGTCTTGCTGCGTCTCTTTGTCATAACATAAATTTCATCGCAATGGATCTCAAACAACTTGCTTCAACTGTAGCCTTTCAGATGGAACAGATCGCCATCCTTCAGGACGAATTGAAGAAGAAAGAAGAGATTCAAGATGACTTGGTCAAGCGGCTTGAGTCTATGAGCGTATACCACGAAGATCTCCATCAAACCCCCAAATCAAAGAACGGCTCAAAAGGAATGATCAAGAGCACCCAATCCAACAGTGGACCAAAAACGTCACCTTTGAAAAATCGACCGGGGTCACAGTCTTCTAAGCCGAAAGGCCAAACATCTGCCAAAAAGAACAAAACCCCTGAAAAACCAAAAAAGCCCAAGTCGACCTCTTCAAAGCCAGTTTCTACTCCGGCAACTCCTTCTCCCAAGAAAAACAAGAACCAAATGATCATGAAGGAAACACCTGAGGGTTTCAAAACCACCAAGGTATATCTTATCTGTGTTTCAAGGATGCTGCCCTTTTGCTTCATCTCGATTTGCTAGAAGCATGAACTGACCCTGTGTTCTTGATATGTATCAGGAAGCCTTGTACTGTTTTATAAAGGTCATGTGGGGGATGGTCGAAGCTGGTGCTGTACCACCACCACCGTCTGTCGACAATATCAGAGAGTTCACTTCCGCCTTTTCAAGCAGTGACGAAATCCAGCACGTTATGAACAGCAGCGCGGCTCGCAAACTTGTTCCTCAACACGAAGTCCTCACTCTCACAGGCATCAAGTCTGGCCGCAGGAAGATGGGAAGGCACATCATCAACATCAAAGAGTTCTTTATCAGCATCACCCAATCATCCCTTGCCAAACTTGGTATTCGAGCATGGGGTCCTAACCTTTTGGAACCAATTGACTCCTTATGGAACGAGGCTTGCCGGATGAGTGCGCTCATGATTTTCAGGAGAGTGGCTATTGGTGGAGCTTTTGATTACATGAACATCAATAGGACTTATGTACAGAATTTTGGGCTGCTTGAGGGTGCTTATAATCACTACGTTCACTATGTGATGTCAGCAAAGTACAAGAAGGAGGCAAAAGAAGAAGGGAAGAATGTGAAAGACGAGGAGAAAAAGGTCATACAAAGAAGCCGCCAACGTGTAATGTTTCTTTGATCTTCTCCCATGCTTCTTTTTTCCTTCAACTGGTATTCAAAGCTCTTGACTGATGTTGTGTTTCGTGGATTCAGCTGCGTGATGCTAGGGTTAAATTTGCCACCAATCAAGGCTTCAAACAAAGGTACCTTGACCTCATTTCTCCCATCGATGCCCACAGCGATGACAAGTACAGCGAGAAGCACAACTGTCACATTGTCAAAACCCTCGAGTACCGTAGCAACAACGCAAATGCTTTCTTCGTGCGCCTGACTCAAGAGATGGAAAAGAACAATCGGCTAGAAGGAAAGCGCCCTCAAGGTCGGATCAGGCGTCGTCCCAAAATTGCCGTCATGTCTACAATTGGCCGCCCGCCAAAGAACATGCCAATCGACTTCTATAACCCCTCCTGGTTCAATGAACTCACCGATGCTCAAAAAACCAAGGTTGCAGATGCGTATTGTGTTGCCCTCCTCCCGAATGCCAAGTTGAGCTTTTGTGCTGTCTCAGGTGCTGATGAGAAGCTTGGTGACAAAGCTTTCAATGCAAAGTTTTGGGATCAAATTACCGGTTTTTACAATCTGAGTCATGTGATTGGTTCCGAAGAAGACAACGAAGATGATGAAGATGACGACAATGAGGACAGTGACTACGATGATGACATTGATCTGGAGGATACTAGTGGTGAAGACGATGACGACGAGCAGGACAACAACAAAGATGATGATGGCTTTGTAGCTGCCGATGATGGGGTGGATGGAAAGTTTGATGATGACGAGTTTGATGATGGTGCTGGTGACAAACATGATGAAGACGGTGATGCTCAAATGTGGGAGGAAGAGGATGCTGCTCGCGAGGCCAGACAAGACGAAGACAATTATTGGAATCAGTGGCAATGATAGTGCGCACCATCCTGTTCAGTCCTGTTGGTAAGTATCCACAATCGTCAATGGCAGTGAGTTTGGTATGCTCACAAAACTTCCTGCTCCTGTTTGACATCTAGCTAGTCTCAAGTAGCACTTTTGAAGCATTCGTGGCTGGGGGGAAATGGATGTGGCGGGTTTGGTAATCCTGTGAAAAATTGCTTTCTAGCTTAATGAAAAAATCGAAAAAAATGCGCTCAACTTTACACCTTCTTAACGGTCATTACTGGTCATCGGTTTTCCTTTTTATCACTCCTTCTGTGGGCTCTTCTGAATGATAAAATCCAAAAAAATCTGCTCGACTTTACGCTTTCTAAACAGTCTTTACTGGTCATCTGTTTTCCTTTTTATTCTTCTTTTGGCTCTTCTCAATGATAAAATCCAAAAAAATGTGCTCGACTTTACATTGTCAGCACGGTCTTTACTGGTCATCTGTTTTCCTTCTGCCTGGTTGATTTTGTTTGAGATCTGTCTCTGACTCAATTTTGTACCTACCAAATTATGTGTTCCTCTTATCATTTCTTGACGGTCGTTACAGTATTGAAAATTTGATGTTTGTGGTTTCTTGGAAACTTGTGTCTGAGGGTCGCGCATTAAGTGCTGAGGCCCCTGAAAAATAAGTCCTGAGGAGTTGCCACCGCTTTACATATGCCCTTGGTTGACAACAGAGGTTGTGTGTGACTTGGCGAGTCATTTGCCTTGTATAATAATCAGAGTTCACAAAAGAGGTGGGCTACTTAATGCGAGCCGCTGGACATATCTGTACTTGGACAGAAGACCTCCCATAGCACTCTATAATGAATACTCGAAGGGTTACAAATCCTCATCACCATCATCAATCATCCAAGAATCTATCATCGAAAATCAAGAAGGAATCTGTCCTCATGGTCCTTCTTGACCAAAACTCCTTAGCTTTTAGGGTTGGAAAGAATGTGATTCAAATCGAAAATATCATGTCAATTGTCATTCTTCAGTTTCAATCATCAATCATTCATCTTCTTCAACTGATCCTAATCTCATTCACAATCCAGCTATCATCTCAAAGCCAATTCAAAACACTTCTAATTCCAATTCGACTTCATCTCCTCAATCCAATCAATCTCATCCTACTCATTCAACTCTCGATCTTCATCACTCCAACTCTTCAAATCATCAACAAGACAAACTGAATCGCAACTCAAGTCTCTCTCATCCTACTCCATCTCAAGCTTTTCTCAATCTCAATTTGACTTCTGCCTCATCTTCAATCACAACAAATCGTGATCAGGATCCTGCCGATTCCTCAACCCAATCCGATTTCCTAGAAACTCCATTACCTTTGTCTACATCCGATCAAGAAAATCTCGATCACTGTGATCCATACACTGGAACTGGTACAGATCAAGATCCACTCAACACACTCTCATCTCGTACCAACTATGCATCTTTTGATTGTTCAGCTTCGATTCATCAATCATCGAAATCATCTAAATCAGCTTCTTCTATTCTAAACGAGAAGAAAGATAAATATATGCTCACACCTTGTCGAGCTCCCAATCAATCTAAGAAGAATAAATCAAATCGATCATCTACTCATCCAACTCATTCAGATTCAAACTTTGTGATCTTTGAACTTGGTGATGAGATTGAAATCGATCATGTCGTATTGGCTAATTATGAATTCTTTAGTTCAATGTATAAGCTCATCAGAATCACTGTTTCTAATAGTGGACTGGGAGGTGCTGGTGGGATTAAATGGGTAGAGGTGGGACGATTCAAAACTAGGAATGTAAGAGGAATTCAGGTTAGTCAAATTCAATCTCTATCTTGGTATTGATAGATGGTTTGAAACAATTCATCTTCTTAGGTATTTCCAATTAAACATCTCAAGGGATTTTACAGATATGTTCGCTTAGATTTCTTGTCCCATTATGGTTCCAAATATTTTTGTCCTCTCTCCTTGGTGAGAATCTATGGTCTCACTCAGATTGATGCGTATGGTCGTGATGAAGAACTCGAAAGAAGAAGGCAATTGGAACTTAAAGAATTTGAAGATGATTTACAAGATCATGAGAAAACATGCTAAACAAAAAAAGGTTGGAATGGTTTTACAATGATGTTTTTTTTCTTGTTTTGGAACAAGTTTTATATTAAGAGTTGTTAGTTTCCATAACAAATGTGATATGAGTTGTACAAGTAACCAAAAACAAATGCCCGTGGTCAGTTTCCCCAGAGCGTTCAAATGAAAACCCACATCCCAATTTACAAATGAGTATGGCGATGGTTCGGGTCAAGAATGCCCAAAACAAAGTGGGAAAATTTTGGAGTCGTCAGTTTACCCTGAGCCTTCAAACAAACAGCTCTCTCCAGACTTCCACAAGAGTATGTCGATGGTTGTGTCAAGAATGACCAACCCAAAGTGGGTTGGTTTTTTGTTTTGCTCAGCATATGTACGGGTGATGGATGTATTATGTGAACATGGGTAGGGTCCATTCCTCCCAATCAATGTGTGTGGAATTGGTCCGACCAATACTTTTTGTTTCAAAAAAAAACACTGAACTTCATTTGAGCGAAATGGGTTATATAAACCAGCGTATTCCAACGGGCTTCATGAGCACCCCTCAGGAGCCCCTTTCTTTCTTTCCTGTGCTTACCCAAACCACAATTAACCTAGTCGGTCTCTTTTATCTAACCTCCATTGTGGTCAGAAAGCTCACTATTTTGATTTCTTGTTCTTTTGTTTCCAAAGATTACCCAAACTCAGAAATGCAACTTGACATTGCTCATCGACTACCCATGCGTTGGAGCAGTATATTTTGGATTGGAAATGAGGTTAGTCAAGAGTCTATATGTATGTGAGTATCAGCTGACATGATATGTTTAGGTGGGCATACCCAGTTGTTCTCGTGTAGCTCGAAGGTATTTCCAATCCAACGCGATATACCACCATCAAAGAGGCCTTGCGCACACCAAGTTACTAATTGCAGAGGAGGTGCCCAAGCCCCTACTGAAACCGATGCGAGCTTACCGACTTGAAGGGCCCATCATTACAGGGTTGGAACGTCAAGAATCAGTGTTGTTGGTCAACCCAGATCACACAATCGCTTTTGATGAAGCTCAAATCCGTTGCTATGAACTGGCTAATAAGGTCTCTGTCACCGGTGTTGGTCGCATCATCAACACAGCCCGCATTGGAGGTCCACACAATGAATTCTACGGGGAGATGGTGACTGTTCTGCATAGAGATTGGGATCCAACTGTACGTGGGGTTCTGCTTTGTATATTTCAGGGTTGTCTACTAACCCTCAATTCAATAGACCTTGCGCTGGGTCGAATTTATTGCTACCTATCAATGTGATTTGCATATAGTGGTTTGGCTTGACATGGATGTCCTGAAAGTTGGGAATGTCGTCCAATTCAGTGGCAACATCATAGGGACTTCTGCAAACGTGTGGGTGGTCAAGGTGAGTTATTCATGAGCATACCAGTGTCTCATATATTGACACAGTGACTTTGTAGGTCACCAACATTTTGCCCTTTGGGTCTCCTTGACCACAAAAGAAGACCACCTTGCTATCACTACATTTACATTTTCTTGGTCTTTCCACTTTATAAATCTTCAACTTTTGTTTCCTAGTAATTTTTTTAGGCCCTTTAATGTATGAGTCCCTTATTATTTTTCTGCCTTTGCAAATGATTCAATTTTTTACCTTTCTCACAGTCGCTTCCCCAATTGTATACCCAGATGTGACCTGATGTGAATTGAGCCAATTTTTCAACCTTTTTGAATCCACAATCTAAATGCACTTTACCCTCTGTAAAAACTGTTGCAGGTTTTTTATCGGCAACTCCCCAGAAAGTTTTTAGAGGGAAGCATTCATAGAACAACAATCACCCAATCCACTCCCTTTTCTTCAACAAACATTCCATTCAAGCTCACTAGCCAAGGTTTCAAGCATTCACTATTCTCCTCACTTCGGCCGCTTGAATGTCAGTAGAAACAGAAATTTGATTTTCATCACAGGAACATCACATTTGAGAAACAACGATTTTTCAGACATAACATAACACATATGAACTGCACATCACTCGATCACAACTCTAGTGTAAGACACTCAGACACAATGTTTTCTTTCACATTAACAAGAACTGAGGGCCCTTCATAGCCAAACGACCATGCTGCCAGTATCCGGTAAGATTGGGTTGCAGTGACTGAGCCAGCTGGAATGAACCTGTGTAATCGGATATCTTTCAATTGGACCAAGCCCATCCTCTTCAATACCACATCTAATGCCTGATTTTCAATTACCTCTATTCTGCGGACACACACCAAAGAATCTTCCTCATCTTCTAGCCGTACCTTCAAGCAGTGAGTCACTATACCCCATGTGCGGACACCATTTAACATATATTCCACCAATTTATTTCCTTCATTCTTATTAAACTTGACTCCACCTATGCCTTCCATTGATTGCACTTCAGTTGCAGATGGCGTTAAGACTTTTGCCCCTTCAGCATTTTCCAAAACACGATAATCAGTCCATGCCGCATTCTTCTGTTGATAGTATTCTAAAAGTGCCATATATGTGTGATCATCCATTTCAAAGAGACCACCATCAGCCTTTTTTGAGATGTTTCGAGGAGGTGAACTTTTTCGATACAGTTTTTGCACTTGACAGAATCGATTCATCAAAGACTTTGCTGTTTCCTCTAGCGAACCCACCCATTAGCAAATGTCAGCTTCATTGATCAGTTGTATTTCCTAGTCCACTTCTGGTAATGGTCAATAAACTTACCCATTTTTCCATTTGTGTGCATCTTCTGCAGCATCCCGATTAACCTCTCTCCTGGAAACTCAGAGACGCTTAGCAAAGGACCATACCATTTCATTTGAGCCAGTGTGTGTAAAGCATAATGATGATTTGGGACGATGTTGATGTCGTCAGAGATACCCGCCGATGTAGAAGTGTATTGTTCATAAATTTCCCCAAATCTTTTGCTATCAGATGCAGTTACTTTCCTAGCCTCAATGAGATGAGTACACTCCACCAACGCCACAAAATTCTCCAGGATCAAGTAGTTCAAAGGTTCGCTGTCACCACTTGAAAACTTTTGATAGTCACCAATAAAGACATCCAATGCAGCGAGTGGTAAGTGAGTGGCAAATAGCGAGTGCCACTCACTTGCCTTCAACTTTCCATTTGCTTTTGTGCCAAGTCCATTAGGCACACGAGTAGTTCCATGTGGAACAACCACCTGCCGCAAGTTTTTCAAGATCTTCTGCATAATCTGTTCGGATAACCATCCAGGTCCACTTGGTTGTTTGTTTTCGGTTTCGATGTCGACAGGTTGCATGTCGACGCTATCATCCAAGTTGTTCTCAAATACCCACCGATATCTAAAGTGGTGTTGTAGGACACCCTCAAACCAATTGTGCATTACCCCTAATCCCACACTCTTCACCGGATCCCAGTACTCGAGTCGGTTAAGTTCTGACCACCGCACACCAGTTGCTTTACGTGCATCGTCTTGCGCCGTAAGAGTTTTGCATTCCTTCCAGTGATGAGCAGCATTTAATACAGACCTTCGATCTCGTAGTCGACCTATCATCATCAACCCCCTCTCTGTATTGAGACAGTTACACCATATACAAAACATCTTGCCTGCATGAGATGTAAAGCCTGCCACTTTATGAGTTGCCACGCTATCACCAATCAGGCATCCCAGCCGCACCGTTACCTTCCGACCTTTTGGATATTTTGGAGTGGGGACTGACAATCCTTTGTCAAGCTGGATTAATTCATCGACTAGAGGGGTGAGGATATGTGTGATTGTAGTCATACTTGGCTGTCCGGGTGCTGGGACTACACCTGAAAGGAAGGTATGTTCAGGTTTCTGACGCATTTTGGGTGGTAGATTCATGCAATTTAAGGCCACGATTCCGATCGAAAGTTGGCGACCGGAGATTTTGTTGCCCAGTGGATTGAACCAGTCGATGAACAGGCTGAAAGCCAGATTCAGAGGTGGTGGGCTTCCTTTACGAGAGTTGGAAGGTGAATGTGTACTTTTTGGAAAGAGTTTTTTCCATCCCGGTGACTGTTGATAGTCCACAACTTCGTCAATCGGAAAAGATTGTACTTTCTTCCCCCAATCATCGATAGAATCCTCAACCGTGTCTAGGGAAAGGAACCACTTGATCCAATCCTTCATTGGATGAACGACAAAAACTGAATGAGGTCTCTTCAGTCGTGGCATTCTAGCGCTTTGAATCTTCTGTGATGATACTTTTTCGATGACTGGTAATTGAACAAGTTTTGGTGAAACAAACAGCTCAGTTGCACAGAGCTTGGTTGTTTTTCGTTCTCGGTAGCCGCATTCCGGTGGACCATATTCGATATCGTACAAAGAGTAACATTTTCGGCAACATGCATAACAGTCGATTACAGGATTGAGGTCCATTCGCTTGGTGATGGATCGCACATTGTTGAGAATGTCTTCATCCAAGTTCACTTTAGTCCGACTTTGTGCAACCATTTGAGCAATAGAAACAATATAATCTCTCGCGATCCTACAATTTGATTGACTGAGCCCACACACAAGGTATAACCATGCCAAAAAGTACATTAAGAACCCTAAAAAACATCCAACGTGAGTGTCTAATCCCGCTTTTGGTTAATTGAGATGTGGTAGCTTACCGATGATATTTTGAGGACTGATCTCTGATGAATGGTCGCTTTCATCACTAGAACTGTCTTGATTGGTGTTTGGTTGTGTAGTGGTCTGAGTGGAAGGCGACGAGACAAAGAGCTCAGGAAACATGGCTTGAATTGTAGCTTCTTCGGATTCATCTGCTCTTTGAGCCCAGTGCTTCTGTCGAGTGCTGACGTGTACCAGCTGGCCATTGACAGCCTTGCCAGTATCGTCTATTCGAGTGCATGTGATACACTTAGGACATTCACAAATAACCAGTCGCATCTCGAGATTGAGTGATTGGTATTGAAAGGGTCTAGATTTGATGCACCAAGGAGGTTATGCTATGATTGCACGATTTTTCTTCAAGGAAATAGGTATATAAGAGGTCTAGTGAAATTGAGTCAAGTTTGATAAAATTCGATAAGCGGAGTCAAGTTCGATAAAGTTCGATAAGGGGAGTCAAATTCAATAAGAAGTATGTGAGACGTTTGGTATTTTGTGCGTTGGTAGAATGTTGAGTGTGTTAAATGATGATGATCCAATTTGTTAGATGATTTAGATCAAGCTACAAAGTAGTAAAGAGTAATGGTGTGAATGTTTGAAATTGAACAAGACATTCATCTAACAAGAAACTTACAATGTCTATCTTGTGATATGAGTTTTTAAAAAATTCGAAGCGAAGGTTGTCGAAGAATAGAGATGTGAAACAGAGGGTCCAAAGATGTTGAGTCGAAATCGATTGTAGTCGGTCCAGTTCAACCAGGACAATGAGGTCACAAATCCGGTTGTGATTATCTCAATGGCCACAAGGTGATCAGAGCACTGAATCCGGTCAGCGTTGATCACCTTGCTGGTATATGGACAGTTTGATGATCGGTTGAAAGCGATGTTGATCTCGTCTTGAAGGAATCGTTGGAAGAATCGATCGTGAGTGATGTGTATATATGTAGGTGAGCAGTGATTGGCGTCAGCTGACCCCAGATCCATATTGTACAAGGGGTCAGCTGACCCCGCGGGAGTTTTCAAAAGACCGGCCCCGCGGCGTCGCCGCGACCCCGCGGCCCCGGCGTCAGCACTTTGCGTGTAGTGATACTTCAGAATCTTCATGAAGGATTTGTTACTTCGTATAATTATATACAAAAACAAGCGACTCCGAGTTCAAACCTGAGCCAGGATCATCACGAAAGACACCAATCATATCGTGATATTGGTTTCACGAGTGATTAGCGACTCTTGATGTCCTCCAGACTCGAACTTGACAATGATATCACGTAAAAACTACACTTGGCAACCTTCTTTCCAGGTCATTGATCGTTTTTTTTGCAAAGGTTTGACAAAATTAGCAGGCAGACAGGCCGCCACCGCGTATTTGGTCTGACGATGGCCCAGAGGCCGACTACGGCCTCGATTTCTCTTGTCCATCTTCAGGCGGTCAGCGGGCCGCCGATCGATGGCCTGCCAGCCGGTCTACAGGTGGCCCTCAGGAATGACCATTCTCAGACTAAGAAAGGCCATTTCTAGACTCAAAGCCCCTCCGTGGTGTAGAATGATTGATGGCCTGTTCACACATGAACCACCGACTCGAAACCCTTCGCTATGCCATCCTGTAAGTCGTATTGATCATCAAATCAGGATTCGAGGGAGATTCACATGTACGGCGCAGTGCAATTTATGTACTGTGCTGTTAAATCAAGTGTTTGAAGTTCGACCATGCTTGAGGTCCCCGTTCCCCACCATGCTTTTAGACCCCAAATCTTCATCATCTTACCATGATCTGAATCCTGACCTTCTTATTGAAACCGTAAAATTAACTCGGTCTCATCGGCATTCAGTTGAGCGAACTTCCGAGGATTCCTTTCCCTCACTCGATGAAAACGCGGATCACATGCCACTGGTGTCAACGGACGAATGAGGATCATGAATCAAAGGAGCCAGAGTCACAGCCTCTCGGAGTTTTGAAGATTCAGGCTGCAAGCAAAAATTTGACTCGTTGGCAATTAGGCTGGATGTACTGCTTTTTTGGCCTTCTGGCTTGGTCGCTATCATTAGGTGAGTTACTTCAGACATAAAAATATCTTTTGGAGATTTTGGATCAGAACTTCGCTAAGTTGTCAAAAAATCTCAGACCAATATACCGCATCCACATACCTCGCCGAGGCTACAGCTACTTCTTTCAAAGCTCATAGTGTTCTGGCCGCCATCAATACGATCAAAGCGGTTGCTCAGGCTATCTCACAGCCTCCGATTGCAAAACTTAGCGATCTAGTGGGTAGAGTCGAAACCTACGTTCTCTGTGTCTGTCTTTATGGAATCGGTGAGCACTCAGGCAAAAGAGACCAAACATCGATCGCTCTCACTTTGGCTCTTCTTCATGAGCAGTTTATTTGAACTGACTTTCACTCCAGGATATGTGATGGTGGCTACTTCCCAAAGTATCTTTTTATACGCTTTTGGTACGGCGACCAACATCCTTGGGATCACCGGGCTCTACCTTTTACAGGAAATCGTGATTGGTGATGTATCTTCGCTGCGGAATAGGTTGTTCTGGAGTATATTCCCTTCGGTCAGTACGCTAGGCCACATTATCAAAGACACTTGACATAAATCAAGATGTGCATATCGTCGAGCAACGCCTGGTACGATTCACTGACTCTGTAACCTATCTCTTTCCAGGTGCCTGGCTCGATCAATGTCTGGTTGGGTGGTAATTTAGCAGAAACCATGCTTGATCGAAGTACTTGGAGGTGGGGAGTAGGCATGTTCGCAATTATGACGCCCATACTCTCCCTCCCAATCATATGCTCCCTTGGTTATACTCAGTATCGTACCCGACATGAGACTAGAGCAGCACGCTCCGTTAGCTTGCCCGGCTCATTTCTTGATAAAGTTCGACATTGGATCATATTGATCGATGGCATCGGTATACTCCTCCTCTTAGCCGGGTCCGGATGTATCTTGATAAATATTACAATTGCAAACGCATATGGTTCAACCTGGGGATCCGGTTCGCATCTTATTTTCATATGGCCTTGGCTGTGCTCTGGGCTGTCGCATGATTTGGGGCTGACGTGATCTTCCCACCAGCACATTCCATCATCCTTTTCATCGTCGGCGCATGTTCATCGATCGGATTCGTATTTTGGGAGATCTACGGGGCTGAGAAGCCTTTGCTACCATTATATCTAATGACGAACCGAACGGTAATGATTGGAATGTTATTAGCGATAGCACATCCAGCTGCTGGGAGTATCGCTAGCGATTACTTTTACACCTTCCTGGTTGTTGCAGCTAAGTATGTGGCTTTTTCTGCGTGAAGTTTGAAGCAATCTCAGCTGATGTCATTCGTTCGATGCATGTGTGTAATTTGCAGTCAATCGGTCTTGAGTGCTACTAGGATATCTGGCTTATCTACCTTCATTTCAATCTTCTCCTGTCTATTTGCTGGTGCGGTGGTGAGCAGGCTAAGAAGGATTAAATGGATCATTATAGTAAGCCATGTATCATCTTGACTTCTCTGCTTACCAGAATTCACTATTGACATAGGTGTGTGATATTTATTAGATCGGCGCAATTTGTGATACACTTGGGCTCGGCTTGATGATACGGTACCGTGGATCTGAAAATTCGCTTTTCGAGCTGGTTTTACCACAGCTCTTTCGAGGATTTGCAGAGGGTTTAGTCGGGTTTCCAGTACAGGCCTTGATTCAGGTCAGTCTAAGAGATATATCTGCTCTGGAGGCCGAGCAAGCAAGTTGACTTTTTCGGATCGATTAGTCCATGACTGCTCATGAGCATCTTGCTTCGATAACCGCGATCTACCTCACAATCTTCTACCTTTCTGGTGGTATTGGTGCTGCGATAGGTGGCGGGATTTGGGTCAACATGGTACCTAAAAAACTCCACGCTTATATACAAGATCAAGATACGGTCAACTCGGCGTACGGTGATCCTTTTAGTTTCGCTCAAGCTCACGCGCCCGATAGTCCTGAGAGACTTGCGGTAGGAAGAGCGTACACTGAGACGCAGGCAAGTCCTTTAGCTATCAATTCACCTACTGTCTTTCATAGCAGATTGAATATACAACAAAGGCTGATGTCTGAGGTCTTGCCTTTGTGTTCAAATGATAGAAGGTAATTTTGACGGTGGCTACCGCTATCGCAGGCATCAGTATCATTCTTGCTTGCTTTTTAGATGATCCACAAATGCCAGATTTACAAAGTCGACCAGAAGCAGAATTGATGAAGATGGATGACGGATCAAAATCAGATGATCAGATTGAAGATCTTTGATTTGAACTGTATTGAAATAAATGGTTCAATACAGTTTTTTCTCTTTTTTTGGTTCAGCAGTTCAATTTTTTCTTGTAAGAACATTACAAAGTGTAAGACAAAGATGACCAATTGATGATTGGAAAGTATGATGACAACTCTATCTTTTTGCATTGGGTGGAAAGTAATGTTTGTGTTGTATACTTTCTACTGAATACCCTTTTGAAAAGGACAGCGTATTTGTAATTTTTGAGTTGTTGATAGGAGATACTCTAGTGTAGATTTAGGGTGAAAAGTGTGGAAAATCAAAAAAGAACCATGGGTACCCCATGAGGAAATGCGATAAGTCGCAAGTCGCTCCTCTGCAGGCTCCAAAGGACGCCCCCTGTTTGAGGAGGGCCTTAGTGAAGTTAGCAGTCTACCTGGGTTGTTTGTCTAGTTCACACTGTTTCTTCTTGAGTTTATGAGAGGATGTTTGACTAAACAAAAGGGGTTTGCCATGATATGCTTGGAGGCGTCAACCATGTAAGTATGGCTGTAAAAGACACAAAAGTGAACAGAACCCCAATGAAATATACGTGTTCATGCAATGTGATTACAGAGAAAACATCTATGTGTTAACTTCATGCAAAATGATAGATCAGCGAAAGTATGAGCATGGGTCAAGGTTTCACATCCTCCATTTGCTTTAGAACAAGATCACAACAAAGCCCTTCAAAAATCTAGCTTTGAGTTGGAGTTATGGCCATTGTGGGGTCTTCAAGGAATCTGCAAATAGTTGACAGGTTTAATGTCAAAGCCCCAAAACAAAAATCTTACATCTTTTAACAACCTAGTTCCCAAAACAATACATTGAAACTTGAAGGGTAAAAGATTGATAACACTGTTTGAAGATTCATAAATTCAAAGAAGTATGTAAGATTCTCTTTGGTGTGTCAAGGCAACAGCTTGTCAATTGGAAATTAAGAAATCACCCGGAATGAACCCAGACAATAAAATTTGACTTGGCAATCAACTGAACCAAGCTTTTAGTATGTATGCTCTTATGAAACTCATTCCATCCATAGCTTTTACAACGATTTGTTCCAAAATGAACAGCTGAGATCAAAAGGTTGGTATCATGATTCATATTGACATCCTAGAGTCTAGGTTCATGGGCCAATTACTGAGAAGACAAACACCATTTCTATGTATCATTTGCTTTTCAATGACAACAAGCACGCATGACTTTCCTTTTCTAGCTCAAAGGGAGTCAGTGCGCCATTGTCAACATGCGACTACCATACAGACACAGGGGAAAAGTCTTGTTCAGTGATGTGAAGTAATTTAGATGAATTCCAAGTTGCAGATATATTTCCAGTGAAATGGCTTTCTTTCATCCATAGGCACCAGTTAGATTGGAGCATCTTGATTGATCTGAGTAGACAGTCTTGGCATGTTAAGTGGCAACCAGCCAAGAATCCTGACGAAATGGGACATCAAAGTTTGTCTACTGGCTATTGGATTGATGAAGCACCCAATCATCATTGATCACCCCCAAAAAGAAGGCCAAGAAGGGCCAAGGACAGTGATTTGGATGAAGTGTTGAGTGCAGATGACGAAGAGCGCAGAAAGCGGCAAAAGTATCTTCCCCGTACGGGAATCGAACCCGTCTCTACCGCGCGCTTCACAAGTGAAAGGCGGCCATACTAGCCGATATACTAACGAGGACATGTCGAAAATCGTTTTGTGCTTATATAACCGGAGACGGTGATGACGTTAAGTGCTCATCCGGATAAGGAAGACTCATTTGTTTGCTCATATTTTCAATTTGTATTCACGAGCAAGCCACGCGACCATGATAACAACAGCCAGGTAAGCTTCCAAGAGAAGTAGCGAGATTCGAGCATCCGTCACAAAGACCGTCTCTATCGAAACATTCACCAGTCCTGTCAAAAGATTGGCCTACGACAATGGATTGACATTCGTTCAGTCCACAAGATAAACCAAACAGTTCACAGCTTGACTCACACCTAAGAATACTGCTAGACTATTTCTATTTACCGCCTCGTACGTTTTGGGTAGCGAACCTCCGAGGAGTTCGTACCCAAGCAACAAGAAAACATTCATGGCAGCTACCCATGCACAATACGCACCGTTGGCCTATTCAATATTCCTCACACATGGTCAGCTCAGACCCAATGATTAAGTAACACGATCATGAATGGAAGAAGAGGTACTGACCGTCCTTCGACAAGGTCGTCCAAGTAAGAAAACAAGCGTCCACCAAACGATACCCCAGCTGGCCAAGACTGTGGCCCGTTTGCCTGCCCGAGTCTCAGTTCGACCTTTCTTGAGGTAATCAGGATGGGGTGGGAGGACATAGCAGCCGCTGTCAAGACCAAGAAGGTATATGACCCCATACCCTGCGGTACCGATTGAAATCGATCAGACTAATTGCCCCTAGAGAAAGCCGGAGGTTAAGATGACGGACCGGCAAGACTGGAAATTCCTTCGCGGTTAGCTGAGATCAATCCATGACGGGGCGCGTCTGAGAGCACGTAGTTTTCCACACCAGCATAACTTAACATCAATTGATGAACTATGGCCGAAGTTTTGAAAACAATGCAGTGAGCTATTGAAAGATTCAAACATCATCGAGCAGTTGACTCACATATACCCAAGAGTAAGCCAAGAGATGCGAAACCAAGACGGCTGATTGCCATGAGTCTATGAGCGGCCACACCTACCATTGGGAGTATAGCAAGTGTGAAAAAGAAATTCCAATGAACACCATATTCGGTTACATGTTCCTAAGGATATCAGAAGCGTACAAAACGTGAGATTCCGCGGAATTTGTTGCAGATGATATTTAGAAAGTCTTACTGGGTAGTCCACTCCTTTCACTAATATTGTCCTGATTAATCCGAGCAAGACGAGCGGCACCGTTTTACGGACACCGTTCCAAACTTCTACCCAAAATGACTGCTGAGTAGGGGTGCCTTTAAGCACTGGAAGCGCACCGACGATTCCAAGTGAAAAAACAAAGGAACCGACACCGAGATCCATCTGGAAAAATGGAATGGACAACCAGCATCAGACGGTCATAATTGGTGTTTTCTTGATCAATCAATGATTATTAAACATGAAAAGAAAAGGACGAACGGACAAGAGAAACCCCAGTGTGTTCAGTCTTACCAAATTTTCTAGGAAAGACTGGAAAATCGACGGCTAGGATTGACAGGACGGTAAGCAACATCATTTGGGCTCGGTATAGGGTCACAAATTCTTGGTGAAATTTTATCTCTGGTTTTTTCGAAGACATGAGATTTACAGTGTCATCTGTCTTTGAAGATTCAGATGGCTTGAGAGGATGGCGATGATGCAGAAGAGTTTCTGAGAGATGTTGTGACTGATTGAAATTAAGATCCTTGTGAGTATAGTCTGAAGCACTTGGGGTGGATGGTGGAGTTGATGACTTGGCCTTTCGAGCATCGTAGGCAGCAGAAGAGGCCTTGGGACGGGACTGAGGTAGACCGACTGGTGAACGGATGGGGGCGAACGAGACCGACCAAGAGAGAAGGGCGAGGGCGACATTGAAGGTCCACAGATAGTCAGAAAAGATGGTGATAGCCAGTAAGAGGGGCGTGGTAAGCATAAAGAACTCGGTAAGCAGGATAGTCAATTGAGGAGTTTGTCGAGATGTGAGACGGCCGTTGACCAAAGACCAAATGAAGTAAGTAAACTGAAGTGAAGAACCAAGTTAGAATCGAATTGAGTTTGAATTGAGAATTAGAATCAACTCACCAAAGCGGTAATGGCTATTGCTAAAACATCGAGCATAGAACAACCTTGACCACCCGATACGAAATTTTCTTTAGTCGATTTATATTCCATGTTCCGAGTCAAAAATGATGAGAACTTCTGAACTCAAACACTGGACTTGAAAGCTGACAGGTTGATCAGTGAAAACCAGATCGATTTCCAAAGATCACGTGACTCGCATATATGTAGCTTACATATGACTGGTAGTGTACGGTATGGAGAAAAAGAGAGCCAAGACATAGGCATTGGCTTGAAGAAGTCCCTTTGATGTTCTCATAGCAAGCAACAGCAACAGCCACCCTTGAACTTCGTTAGACTTTGTATGTGTCTGTGAGATCAGTTTGATGAAAGAAGAAGAATGGCACCAAAGTGATGTGATATATCAGTTCAAGGTGTTGTACAGATACCCTTTTTGAAAAAAGATCAAGTTTCATGAAATTACATAAATACATAGGGTTCTTCACACTTTGAAGTTTGCTTCATCCCAGATTCATCTCTCTTACATACTTTACCTTTTTGAATTCATCTTCATCAACTTCAATCATATCTAATAACCTTGAGATCCCAAGTGACTGTGCACCATGGATCCCAATTTGATTACTCAATTGATGGAAATGGGTGCTAGTCGAAGCGCTGCAATCTCTGCCTTGAGAGCTTCTAAGGGCGATGTCAACGAGGCTGCCATCGTCGTCTTCGATCCCTTACATGCCGAGGCTACCTTTTCTGACGCAGACTCTCAATTAATTATCGATGGACCTACTGGATCTACATCAAAGCTACCTAAAGTTAACGATGAAGACGCGCAGGACGATGAAATGACTTCTATTGAAGCAGAATCAGATGATGGCGGGATACATGAAGAAATCGATTTCTTCGAGGACGATGTGGAGGAAGTTGGAGCCGATCCATTTGCTCAAATATCTTTTCAAAAGGATCGTAAAGAAATCATGTTGGAGATTGAAGAAACTCCCGAGAAGGTTGAACTCAACATTAATCAAGTCAGGGAACCTGCGATCATCATGCCTCAAAGTCAATGGATGAAAGGTTGTGCTGAAGGGAATGAGCAATCGGTTCGTGAAATAATTGACTTTTCCGTTTCATTACTCTTTCACTAATCTACTTCTTTGATCGCCTCTACTATCGTTTTAGTTTTTGTTTCAAATCTATAGTCGCTTGACCGATACCGAATGTTCTTGTGTGGCTGACAAATGTAATGGGATCATACAACGTCAAAGGACAGACTTCTTTGCTATCCCTGTATGTGTTCATAATTATATCATCCGACGAAGCAATCCATCTTGATGGTCATGATTCTAGAACACCTTTGCCCTCTATATCCAACATTTAGAGCAAGTGGTCCAAGCCAAGTGTCCGGACTGTGGCCGTGTGATTTGTCTAGCCTGCTCGGATGAAGTCACAGCCCCGTCTTCTTCAAAGGAACCTTCACTCGCAGGGGACACGTCCGCCGCTTTGCTTCATTGTCCGGATCTTCAAGCTGTCATCCTGGGAGTTGGTCTATCCCTCGTTGAAAAGATGTATTATGTCACGCCTCAACCAGAGTCATTGCCATCTCCTGAGATGAGACCATCAAAAAAGACCAAGTTGGACACTCCACCAATCAATGAAAATGATTCGAGCGAAAACGAGTCCTTGGAAATTACACATCATGGTCATGCTCGTGGCGTTAGATCTGGTCCCAAAGGGGTGGGCTATGGAGGAGCCTCTTATGGGTCTGATGATGTGCGTTCTTACCTCTGATTTGATGAGGTCACTTCGAGGCTGAGCTTAATAACGCTAATCATCCTGTACCTTAGCAATCTGGTCAACAAGCAGCCTCTCTCATGCAAAAGATGCAGGATCAGTCACTTGCCTCTCTACTCGCGTCCATCCGAGTTTTCATGCCAAATCGATCAAGGAAGGGACCATTCCGATCATCTGATCACATGCCATCCATCGCTACCGCCATTCATATCCGACGAAGATTCAACCCCATTGCCAGTGATCTTTTGAAGAACGACTCGCTCAGTGACATGAGTGATCGTAGAGTCCTCTATGAGGAGTTCTTGGAGTGGCTGTTGATTGTGTCAGCGCATGAGAATCTAGGATCAATCATGGGACAGGTATGTCAAAAAGATGAAAGGATGCACCTGGACAATAATACCGTTTCTGATCTAGTGATCATAATGCCACTGCACAATTGCTAGCCAATCATGCGCGAGACTTCATCAAGATACCTTCCGGCGACAGCTAATTCCACAGGACAAGGTACCCGCGAGAAAGAGATTACTTATGAAGGTTCCGCAGGGCCGCGTGAATTACTTGAAAACTTGTCTCGCCAAGTCAAAGCGGCCCGACATGCCATGAGACATCCGGAATCGGAATCTCAACTTAAGAAGGCTCCATCACTATATCATCTTAGCAGAGACAAAGAAGATAAGGAGGTGGAGAAGTTGGAATCCTTTTGGTATGTTACATTCACTGCGTAGGTGTCGGAACGTCAGCCTTGCTTTAACTGATCATGAGCGGACCACTTCTCTTCCCCTCCCCGCAGCGAGCGGTTTGAAAAAGCTGTAGCTTCGATCGATTTATCGCTTGAGTCAAACAATAATCATCATGTCATCGAAGCCATCAAAAGTCTGAATCGCATGCATGTGCCGGTCTCCAATGATTTATCGTCGGTTTCACTAGAAATTCTACAAACACGATATGTGAAATGGGCTGAGAGTGTCAAATACGAAGTTGAGTTCGATCATCAAAGTGACCTGGCATGACTTTCATTGACGCATTCAATGTGACCCATTTTCTTGATAGTATTACGACTTTGAAGTTCCGAGTCCTCCAGAGGAAGCTCCTGTAGATGGAGTAACAAGACCTACAGAATCCGTTCCTTCTCTTAGCTCGAATGCGCCAAAGTATTTGCATGCATATGCAAGAGAAATTCAAAATACATTCTCATACCCAGCCCGGAACACTGCCATCGCTAGAGAGGTTCGTCTATTGATGTGATATCATGTGATCAAGAGGACTGATCTGTCACTATCTTTTTAGCATTCTACTCTTATAGGTGCGCTTCCAATCTCTTGGGATTCGAGTGTCTTCCTTCGAGTTGACGAAAGCAGGTGGGTTTCCGATTTCTATGATATGGTACATCTATACTCATGCCACATATCCTCTTGTGATCAGACCGGATGTCATCAAGGTATTGATCACAGGACCAGAAGGCACGCCGTACTCGAACGGATGTTTCATCTTTGACATCTTCTTGAACAGCAATTATAACCAAAGCCCTCCAAATGTGAAGACTATGACCACCAAAGGAGGTAGATATCGATTAAATCCTAATCTTTATGGAGATGGGAAGGTTTGCTTATCGCTATTGGGCACTTGGCAAGGACCTGGATGGATTGGCGGTAAAAGTACTTTGTTACAGGTGACTAACGATCTTTGATCGACTACTTTTGTTCTTCTCGTATGTGTCCTACACAATTTATCAGACGCTCATATGATTGACTGTCTGGCTCCCTGAAAGGTCATCATCTCCATCCAATCCATGATCTTATGCCAAGAGGTAAGAAATTGATACCTATGAAATTCGATTGCATTATCACTATCTGACCTTCTTTCCCTTGTAGCCGTACTTGAACGAACCAGGCTGGAGTAAAATGTCTGGTACCCCTGAATCAAAGGCGTACAATCTGAATGTACGAAGAATGGTAGTAGATGATGCAATGATTGGATCGATCAAGAATCCCAATCCAGCCTTTGCAGATGTGATCAAGACGCATTTCAGATTGAAATCTCAAGTGATTAAGGATCAACTAGATCAATGGTTACAAGAAGATGACGGTCAAGCTTTAAGGCCTGATAATCCAGGAGGCGCGGTAGGTCAAGCTAAAGTTGGGAACGGTCAAGACTCTATGTTAGCAAGAAATGTAGAGGAACTGAAACGACTACTGGACGAATTAGCGATTGAACCCGAGATTGAGAATCAAGAAAGTGGTTAGGAGGAGTCTTCTCTTCTGAAAGACAAAGGTCAACTGGCCATTGTCTAGGATGATATAGTATGATTTATAAAAAAAATATTCAATGTATGACCTGAAGAAAAGCATAGAATGATATAAGTGCTATCATGTATAAGTCTGTGGTATCTTCATAATCGTTAGGCTGACACTCACCACATTTGACGTTCACAGATTTGACTTTTAGATGTAAAATGCTGTTTTGTGAACTTGAATTCACTTTTACTTACTGATTTGATGGCTGGAAAAAAACATATAGTTCAACTACTTGATATATACAAAATGCTTGTAAATATAGACTTTCTTCTCTAGTAATAGTATGATGATATGTGATTGGTATATATAGATTATCTTGTGAAAAACTTGAGGTGATCCCAAATTCCCAATCACAGTCTTGTAAATTGATTGTAGGATATGTCTGTTGTGCACACTGCCAACATAGCCTTGGGTTGAGAGACCCAAGGTGTCATTGGAGGCAAATCCTTGGACAAACTGTACCCAAGGTTTTTATCTGAGGTATTCTTCTGCACTAAAAATCAATTTGAATCAAAACCTTGAGAAGCAAGAGGTTTGGAATCTGAGAATACCCTGAATTTTTCAATCCGAGGTAAATATCTTGTTGAAGGCAGCACTTGGCAAACCTCAATGGTGACATGATTTAAAAAAATGAGGTCTCTATGGACATTGGACCGGGTCAAGCAGGATGGTGAGCAGGGTATGGTGTTTGGCCTCCTCTGATACCAAGTACTTGACCAGCTTGTCTTCAGTGCAACACACAACTGCAAGCACCATGATCAGTCTGGTGAGTCTTCAAAACCTTTTGAAGGGCCCAGAGTACAGGAAGGACAAGTTGCTTGGTGCTTCCATTTTATTGGAATATCTGTGTTGAGGTTTCAAGCATCTTGAGAATAGCCATCATATGCTCTCACAACAGCTGGATGCAGAGTTGATTTATGGGATACAAACTAGAAACCCAGAACTTGTCCAAGTTTCCCAACTCATATGTTTTGGCTGTAGTTAGGAAACTGGAAAACCAGGCAAACCAAAAACTACAGCCAAAAAGTCTGAGTTGGGAAACTCATCCAGGTTTCTGATTTGTATCCCATAATTGTACACAAGCTAAAGAAGGGATACATGGTGCCAAAACAACACAAGAAGACAAGGGTATAGAAGAAAACAAGGTGACCTGGGATGTTGAAGCAGCTGGGGTAACAAGACGGGTGTAGGGAGATCCTGGAAGGGATTTGGGTGGATGTTGAGGCATGATCTGACCAAGATATTTGACAGGCCTAATGATTTGATTCAAAGACATAAGGAAGGAAGAAATGATGCAATGGAAATAAGGAAGCAGGGTATGATACAATCAGAACTCACAACTTGGGAAAGAGTCAAGGGAAAGAGTTGAGGGAGAAATGGAAGAGCTTGTCAAAGTTATAAGAAACAGGTTTCTCACCTGATGTCAAACTCTCATAAGCTCCTCCATCTCAGAATTAACCCATTTCAACACCTGTAGCAATAACTCAATGTAGACACCTGAAGATTGTTGAGCCATGATTTGCTTGATAGATTGAATGGAGGCTAAAGAAGCCACACTTCTAGGGCAAGTTTTGTACAATGGCCATATTGATAGGTGGATTGGGTGTGAGAAAAAAAAAAAGTTGAGGGAGCGGTGGACAAGCTTGATTGATAAGGAATCTGGTTGGTGGTGGTAACCTAAGTGGTATATTTTTATGATCTCACAGATTGTGGTGGATTTCTTGTTTGGCTGAGTATACGGTGAGTGTACTCATCAAAACAAGGTGTGTAGTGAAAAAGGGTAGGTGAGTATTTGGCGCAGAGAGAGGGCACACTTGAGTACTGTGTAATCATTTTAAACTTGCAAGTGAGTTCTCCAATGTGGAGTACAACTCACACAGTCCATATTGGGAGTACATGTACTTGGGACCAAAACCCGTGCTAAGTTAGTATGAGTTGAGTATGCCCATATTCACTGCTGCATCTCTAGATACACCACTCCAGTTGAAATTCATTGGTGTTCAACCAACCTAACTAACACTGTGTCTGTATCCTTGTAGCACATTCCTTGAAGTTGTAGCATCTCGACGTGCACACACCAAAGACTTTTGATACATACTTGAAAGATCCTTTAAAGAGGTCTCCACAATAGGTATGCCTTCCCTTTGTCAACTGGGGTGTTGACACACAGTTGACCACAACTGCTGACAAAGAATCCCACAAATCCTTGAGTCAAATGATCATTCACAAAGGGAACTCAACACCAACTCAGTCTAAAGCCTGCCAAAAGATTTTCTGTTTTTTTTTTCAAAACTCTCCGTGTGTGCATGTTGATGTGCTACAAGGATACCAACATGGTGTAAGTCCCTCTTGGCAAGTAAGCCTGCAAGAGTGGGACTTATTACACAAAATTTGGCACAGGAGCTGGAAAATTTTGGTTGAAGCTTCTTTCCAACCATCATATCTCAATATGTTACAAACAAATATCCTGTTGCACTAAGAAAAGTTTTGCTTGTCTACTTCTTCTACACACTTCAAATTCTTGCAATTCAATTAGGAAGTTAAGCAAAAGCCTTGAAAAAAAGATAGTTCTGTAACATTCCAGACTGCATGCTGTGAGCCACTGACAGATTGGTCAAACATCTGTGAGTTTCTCAAAAGTTTGAAGCATATTGCATCTGCAGCAATAGACAAAAACCAAAAATGAATTATATGAGCATGTGTAGAAGAAGCAGATGATCAAGACTTTTCTTTGTACAAGTGCTTGCAGACTAGATACAACACATCAGTTGGGACTGGCAGAGTAAACATGTTGTATTTTTTCTGTGCACTTGTACCAGAGGATATTTACTTGTAAGGTAAGGAGATATAGCGGGTGGAGAATGTCTTCAGCCAAGATTTTCTGGCTCCTGCACCAAATTTCTTGGATAAGGTATAAGTTGCTCTCTTGTAGACTTGATAGCTAAGAGGGACTTAGTCAGGCTAGTGTTCAACAGTACTTGGCTGAATCAGCTTGGGAATTGGGAATGAAACAGATGCCCAAAGGGACAACAGTGTCTGGATAGTTCCATTTAAATCAGAATGAGCCAGGAAGCCAAAGGACCCAGTACCAGAGTAGAAGGTCTGGGTCTAATGGGAGTATCTCAAAACTTTTGGAGTGATCAGGAAGGAATTTGAAATTTCTTCCCAAAGGAAAAACTCATCATCCCATCTTCACAACACATCAGAACAAAAATTCAAGGTACATAATAGATTTAGAGCTAAATCATTCTTTTTCCTCCCACCCGCCCCTTCACCCTGCCCCACAGAGAGCCTACCTGGTTAGCTGACCCAGGGCCCATGGCCCCCCAACAACTACATAAATTAGGACTAGTACTGATCAAACATAGTAAAAATAACTAAGTAGAATCTCTTCAGGAAAAGTATAAAATGACATTGCAGGAAAGACATAAAACATAGGAGAAAAGGAAAACATAGATAATGTAAGAGAGTAATACGCTGGAGATAACAAGAAGGAAAAGTGAGACTTGAAAAGACTGAACGTGTAGATGATTTAAATGGAGTACATCAAGTGTGTAGGCAAAAGGCTATGATCCCAGAGGGGATCGAACCCTCGACATACTGCGCTCCAGATGTAAAGCAGGCATTCTACCACTGAATTATGGAACCGATGAGTATTTTCGTATCCTACGATACTTCAGCATGGATGAGAACATCGTTTTTTTTAGGTGTAGGTAACTTGCTTATTTACTGATTGGAATATCGGGAAATAGGGACTTCGAGTTTTGGATGTTTAGTAATTGTCGGGTCCGGGTTTGAATTGTTATTTTACCTTTGGAAAAATGACATCATTCCTGTTTACCATCGAAATTCCATCCATTACTCGTTGACCACTTTTTATCAAGTTTCCTTTTTCCTCATTATATCGTCAAACTACAATCTTCAACAGCAAGTATTTTTTGAAAAAAGACCCACCCTTCCCACCCTGGGAGATTATCTGGGTAAAATTAATTTCGTATTAGTTCTAAAAAGTAATGTTATCTAAGAAAACAATATAAAAAACTTTTTCATTTTTTACAATTTTTTATTTCTAAGGTTTGTAGTGTTATACAGATAAATATATGTTTGACACTTAATTCTAGAATGTACATCATAAAATAGTTATTTTAACTGTTTTTTATTGTGATTTTTTATCTTTCTCTAGCTTATGAGTAGTTTTTGTTTTGTTTTTTATATTGTATTATTATTGTGGACCGCTAGCCACCCCGTAGGGTGTTGTTTGGTTTTAGGACATGATAATTTATACAAAGTTTATGCCTAGCGTCTTTTAGCGTGTCAGTTTCATCTATCCGTAAGTCTTGACGATATTTCCTGTAGTGAAGGAGTCTTGTGGGACACTGCACCATTTTTCTGGGCTTCTTTAGGGCTATGGTACTGGGTAGGTACAACGATAGCTGTCATACATTCTTCAACACGGGAAAGAAGACAAGTTTGAGATTTGGAGGTGAGATTTCAGATGAGCCGGTCAAAAGGAAAATTATCCACAACAGAGCAAGTTTCAGAGGAGATATATTTATACTGTGGTAAAGAGATCAAGTTTGAAAGTTTTATCAGCCTATGGATTATGATCACTCGGCTTAACGCGCATTTCACTTTGACAACCATTTTGTGGTTTTCACAACAGAAATTAAGCATTTATAGGATGAGTGTCTTGGCTGTTGAATAATTGACCAAAATACCAATGAGTATCAACATCTATGGTGGTGAGCAAGATAACATGATTAAATTACCATGGAATAATCAATTATTGCACCAATGATCAAAACATGGTAAGCAGATCACTCAATTATAAAATTGATGGCAGTGAAATGAAAATATTGATTTGTAAAGGTCTGGTCCGAGGTGTATGGAATCAAGCAGAGGAATTAGAGTGGAACTGGAAAGAGAAGGTTGGATAAGTCAGAATCATTGTCTTTCGAGAAGGGAAAGGGAATCTGTCTTATGGGGCGTCAGGTGTAGGTCTTTGCACAATTCTCACTGATGGGACGTCTCCTGATGATACATCCAAGCCTATTTATGATGGTTACTGCCTGGCTCAATGCCAGAGAATCCAATCTGTGAACTTATACAAAGTGAAGGCCTTTTGCATATGCCCCATTGGCATAAGTTTTAGTCCACACCTCGACCTCCTTGATCTGGCCATGGCTGGCCATCCTACGACGACATCATCCCGGTCCAATTATATTAATATTGATGTCAACTCTTGAATAGCAAGATGAGAAAGCACAACTTGTTTCGTGGTCATATTGTGGTACTGAGACTAAACCCTAGCCCTGAATCGTTGAGTAGAAGAAAAGATTGTGATGGTAGAGACAAGCGTGAATAAAATATGAGAAAGGTTAGAAGAAAAGTCAGATAGACAGTGAGATTGTCAAAAAATCATCAACAAGACAACTGTTCGAATAAAGGTGCCAGAGTATTTTTAAGCAGCTTTCCAAAGGCATCGTTCACCAATGGAAATTTAGAGTATCTAGAGTGTTTAGGGTCGCGTGTCTAGAGGAATGACATATGTCAACTTTGATTCATGCCTCAAGCTTCAAAATAGATACGTTTCAGTTTGGATGACTCAACTTGTTGAAGGAGGTAGCATAGCATATTGTTTTCCTCTACGTTTCGAAGGTCGGTCAAGCTCTCACTCCAATGTCCCAAAGAACCGTTGTTTCTTCCAAAGGGCATCTACGAAATAAAAGCTCAGTGAGAACTTGATCGCGGAAAAGATGTCCTTTCAACCGTCTTTTGATGAAAGCTAGATTAGACTTACAGGATCTGATCTCAGGGTATATGATGAATGTCATATTTTAGTCACTGGCTTCTTATCAACCTTTTCAAGTCTGTTAATGAATGCAATGACTTACATGCAAGGAAAGTGTCTTTCAAGCTCAAGAATTGCTCGGCCAACTGTATGAGAGTTCAAGTTAGATTATCTTTCTTATGGCACATCAGCTCTTTCAGCGCATGGCCAGTGATAACTCACTGTTAAGGGCGTTGCACGACGATACCAGTGACCATCCGGACTAGGTGGTAGCTTCCCATTACCGCGCGAAAAACTACCATCGGGGTTCTCAATGATACCAAAAAAGATTTCAATGTCTTTCACATGAGGTGGGGATGGATTACCGTGTACATCGGCCGAGGCCAAGGCATAGGCAAGGAAAGACTCCGATGTGTGTACGAGCCTGAATATGAGCAGAGTAGCAAACGATGCTTCATTAGTGTTGCTCAAGAGTTTAAGATGAAATGACTAACTGTTCTCCTAGAGCCTTGATGAGATGAAATGAGTGCGCAACAAGCGTCAATTGGTCTTGGCTCAAGCTTCCGGCTTGTTAAATGCTCACCCATTCACACTCAGGATTCGTGTCACGACAGGTAGTGTACTAGATTCATGACAAAATTGCGAGTCTGTCAGATTAGATAATTATTAAGCGTATCTTCAAGAATGAGGTTGTTACCTGCATGTATCTTGCTTCTCCGACGAATTCTCTGGTCATCAGTCCATTGTAGCGCTTAACTAGATTGAAGGAGATGTGAGAACTTTCGAAGATGCACGATCAAGGAATTAAAATACACGGACAAGCCAGATTTCTAAACTTCTTCCAGTAGTTGCTATCAAAATGATCTGAGTCACCATGCTCGAAATAACGATCAGGACGCGAAAGAGATCCGTCAATTTCAAATTTGTTGTGTGCCAATGACGAAAAGAGTCCAGGAGCCGTTCCAAACAGTCCGCTTAATGGTCCATCGGTTCGCGAGTCTGTTTTACCAATTGACATCTTCAATCTATGATTCAAAAATATTATCAATTCATTCTTGATGGAGGCTAAGAGGCCAGAAAATCTCACGTTGTGATATCGACGGCAGCTCTTACTCCAAGCATCGTGATACCTATGGCAAGGTCGGGAGCCAATCCTAGCATTTCTTGCTGTGCATAAATCAGTTCAACAACATTGGTGATACCATCTCGAGAGATCTTCAATAAGTATGATTTTCGGAAGGATTAATGTGTGAGTTTCCGCTCCTCAGAGACTTTTGGGCAAGGAGACACTTACATAACCGTAGTTCGCCATAATATTGAGACCGGGGCAACCACCTATCAAGAGGGCCCATGAGTCTGACACTACTTTGGCATACTGATTGAGATCAGAGAACTTCAAGTTTACCTCTGATATCATTAGGACCAGGTGCCTAGATCGCGTGTTCGAAAACAACGAATATCGATCAATCAAAGTCTACACTTGCAGCGCGTGGAAAGCTGACTGACTTTGAAAGGATGGTCATCGTCTGGAATTCGCTTTCGTCCAATAGAGACTACGGGTCCCAAATCGAGGCTGGCTACAATTATAAGGGCATGTGATCAGTCGCTTTGTAGTAGTCCACGCGTTAACCCAGGGAAATCCAAAAGCTTACTTGGTAACAAGCCAATCACATCTCCCAAGTCCAAAAGTCCACGAGCTTTTAGGTTCTCGAGGCTAGCAGCTGATATGTTAGAGGCAACCGAGTTGAACCCTCGTTCCAGATACTGATTGAAGAAATCAATGGCTTCGGAATTCCTTATCAGATCTTGACAAAGAATGGACGTACGTGGCGAGGAAATGCCTGTGAGTATTGAAAGAGTGAGAATATAAGTAATAATGATAACATTTCGTCAACAAGATAAATGGTTCTTGATCAAAATTGTTGGGAAAGATCAGGTAAAGCAGATGATATAACAGAAGGCGAATCGGAAGGCGTTAGATATTCACTTTCGAGCATCATCGTAGCTATTCTGAACAACGATTAGGAAGAGCCTTGCACATGAGCGCAGACCTTTTGAGAGCTTTGACTGGGTAAAAATTCACTGTAAATGCTCGCAATCTGTCATACCAGAGTCTCAAGAAATTGAAATAAATCCTCTTCAGAACATATCAATCGTTAAAGACAACTTTATTTTTGTTGGTAAACTTTCACCTTGGTCTGTTAAGAAAGAAGTGCCAAATGGGGGATGTCCAGTAATCATATCATTGGAGACCTCATAGGGTCACACTCCGTGATGAGGACTGATTAGCAAACTTTGATCCAACCTATCTAAATGGTTGTTTGGTGACATTATGCTACGAAGCATGAGTTGTCATAGACTTGTTCACAGACCGATATGATGATAAAGCACACATGGTATAGAAAATGATTCACCATAGACTACAATTTTGTGGGATGAGAGAAGCCGTTGATTGCAATGGTTGTAAAGGTTGGAGATATGTTGTGTACATACAGGACATCGAAGTGAAGAAATTGAGAAATTGACAGACAGAGAGAGTGCCACGTCGCAATCCGAAGCCAACAACTCAAAAATCATGGTCACCACCACTTTCATCGATCATCAACTCATCAAACCTCACTCGATCTTATCCTCAACACTTTCGAAAACTCATCAGAACTCAACCTAATCGACTTTGACTTCTAGGCTGGCTAGATCACCTTCACCTTCATTTGCTGGACGTCTAAACTTTGAATTTAACTGCAGTCGATTCCAATGACATTCGTCAGGCTTATCATTTGTGCTCTTGGTATCTATGCGAGTTGTCAGTCATCTCTTTTGACTTGCAATTCCTTACAAACCCTTCATAATTAAATCTGATGATTCGCCTTCCTTTGACTTTTACCGATCAATAACGCGAGGCATGCGTTTGATCAGTCATTTCATGGGCTTTGATTCAAGAGAGACGTGAGTTGAAGGATTCGCCTTGTGATCTGATGTTTTGCTCAGGAAGCGGTCATCATGGTGTCCCGTATATTGATGATACTGACACATCATTTATTCTCTCTGTTGGTTTGCCCAGTCTCAACCACGCCTTACCACGATCCGTCTGGGGGAAAACCAAAGTACTTCAAATCCGTGGTCTTTCTCAACACCGTTCAGAGTGCATTCAGTGCGACCGCCGCCCTCGTTTATCTCATTTCTCGGAAAAAGGCATCACAATCCTTGTTGCAAGTGATCGGCTTGGGTGGATCACCCAACTCAGCCAAGTCCAAAGGAAAAGCTAAAGAAGGCACCAATCCATCATCTGCGAAGAGTAGCAACCCGATTTCACTCCTTTACCGTTGTCTGCAATGTGCTGTATTACACTCTATCGGATCACCATTCGGCTATGCGTCTCTCAAGCACATCGACTATCCTACCATGATTCTCGGAAAGTCGTGTAAATTGGTACCTGTCATGCTCATGAATATTGTGCTATATCGTCGTCGATTCCCGGCTCATAAATATATCGTTGTCGGTTTGGTGACGACTGGCATTAGCATGTTCATGCTCTTTGCTGATCACGGTTCAAAAGCTAAAAAAGGCGCTCAACAGAGTAGTTTATTTGGATTATTCCTTCTGTTAATCAATTTGTTGATTGACGGCGCAACCAATTCCACTCAAGACGAAATCTTCAGTCGATTCACAATCACTGGCTCTCAACTCATGTTTATCATGAATGTTCTCTCCACCCTCATCACTCTTGCTGCTCTTGTTGTTCCAATTCCACCTCAGCTCTCTCAGCTCATGGGATCGAAACCTTCGAATGGCAACGAATTCTCAACCGCCCTTGAGTTCATCAAGACATACCCGAGCGTGCTGAAGGATATTTTACTTTTTTCAACGGCTGGCGCGATTGGGCAATTATTCATCTTTGAAACCCTTTCGCATTTTGGTTCCTTAACTCTCGTCACAATCACCGTCACTCGAAAGTTATTCACCATGTTATTGAGTGTAGTCGTCTTCAATCATCAATTAACGTTCGGTCAATGGGCCGGAGTCGGCGTCGTCTTTTGCGGAATAGGACTTGAGGCTGTTGTAAAGATGGGACATGGAAAAGCCAAGGCAGTTGTGAATGAGCAAGAAAAATCTAAAATAAAAGACTTATAAAAGAGATCGTATGTCGAGTGACACTTGTAAGACTGCCTCACACCATCCGATCTATGGATACATAGAACTACACCTTTGTCTTTTATTCAATCAAGTAGGAAATATAGAGTTTTGCGCCCAGTTTATCCATCTACTGTTGATGAGTGGTTCTTCATGGCTGAAAGACGGCTGGGCAAGAGTCTCTGCTGATCATGCCTTGTCCTCATCGGAGCCTGCACTCCCTTTGATGTTACAGAGAATGTGTCACATTGGTCAAACTATGCCACTGACAGCTGCAAGCATTTGATGATATGATCACATTCAGCTTGTTATGACGAAGAGACACAGATGTCATAGGGACAACCGTTTTTCAGATCCGGTTTTTGTTGCAGGGGGAGGAACATCCCGACAAAACTGATCCGTACCGATCGGGCAGGTCCCTCGGGCTGATGTGCTTGCGGTTCGCTCTACATCCACTCTTGAAGTTCGTCTTGATCTTCCTTTAGGCCTTCGTGATCGTCTCGGCATGATGAACTTCGTTTCCTCGTGCGCAAAGCGGTCGAAGTTATGTACTGCCAGAACATCTCACCGCATAACGGCTGTACCCAAGAGAGCGTCCAGTGGTGGCCAAATGAACGGTGATGTCAACCAAAATTCAGTCAACAAGCAATTGTCCGCCAGAGTAGCCAAGGTCGATGGTGATGACAAGAAGGCTCGATTGTCTGCTAGGTCAGCAGGTAGAGCCACTTGGAATTTGAGTGCACTATAACATCATGCTCTTACCCAATCGATATCCCCTGTGACATTTGTTTGAAGCAGCATGCAGACGGAGGATGAGAAAACCAAGACTGACGTACTATCTTTCTCTCGCCGTTTGTCGGCTCATCATATCTTGGACGTTCGGGCCTATTAGCCTTATTATCATCAAGCCATTGAAAGAGTTGACGAAGGATGGATTCAACTACCACACGCTCTTGTTGGAGCGAAACTCCACCAAAGGTTCTTTTCTGTCGGCGCATGTGTTCCCAGGTATTTTTTTGATTTCTTCGTTCTCAACGCATATTGAATTTGTGGTTGACGGAAAAATGGTTGACACTCCCAGGAGGAAATATTGAAAAAGACGACTCCACGATGGAAACGTCGATTGATCCAAATCGTAGCGTCATTCGTTCATTGAAAACATGCGCAATACGAGAAACTTTCGAGGAATGTGGCATCCTGGTCGGCACAACGGTGGTGGACCATGATAAAAGCACTCTAACCAACTCGATCATATCCGACTGGCGTCAACGAGTCAGTCAACTTTATGCTAGGACATCCTTTACACGGTTGTTCTCTGACTGTGGTTGCCTATCAGATTCTGTATGGATCGGAATCCTTTTCGAATTTCGTCAAGATGATCAAGAAGGAGTTTGGTCGCGATCTGAAGTTGGACGCATTAACGCATCATGCAAATTATCTCACTCCTCTCGCATTGCCCATGGTCAGCCACTCCCCTTTTGACCTCATCAAACTGTAGTTCCATGACTTGAAATGAGGTACAAGCATAAAGTGTGGAGGACTGCTCAACTCTTTCTCTTTTTTGCGTCAGGTAGCGATGGGACACGCACTTTTTCATGTATATTTGTCCACCTGATTCTACAAGCTCAGATACCAATTCCGAGGCAATAGGTATCGAGCAAGCCAATGTGGATGGACTTGAGACAGTTTCGATGCGATGGTTAACCCCTTTAGAAGGTATCAAGCTGGCAACGTCCTCGTCCACCACCGATCCGGAGCATCAAGGATTAAGGCTTGCACCTCCACAATTTTATCTTCTTGCAGAGTTATGCTCAAAATTAGATTACAATTCAATCTTCAATCAGGATAATATTCCTACAAGGGTGGATGAGAGTTGCAATGTTGATGGAATGGTAGGGAGCACACGTCGAATAATCGAATTTATTCCGGAGATGATCAAGCCTCAATCTCAGAATTCCAATGAAAATAGTATGAGTATCAAAGCGATTTCCTTTCAATTAGTCTTACCTGGCGATCCTCAACATTCAAGCACAAATAAAATCATCAAGAATTCACCACATTTGACAAATCAGACAAATGGATTCAAACACAGAGTTTACATTCGTCCTCCAACCCGGTCGCCATCAAAGTCTAGTTTTTTTATTCCAATTGGTATTGAACGGATTGGGATGGAGAATATCTTGGGAAAGGGGTGGGAAGATGTTGTGATTGGTGAAGTAGATTAAGCAACCAAGAGTTCTCAAGATCTAATCATGGACCACGTATCATCAGTCTCACGAGAAGAGAGCAAATCTGTTGTTTCCTTACCTCTCTATTTGATCATTCAACATTTCACACTAGTTGGAACTGCCTTACTTTTCTTTTGGGCCTTGTGTTCTCAATGCAATAACCCTCTTCTTCGGCCCGAAAGAGATGAGCACAGTCTAATTCCTGAATCTGCATGTGCTCTCTCCATCATTCACCATTCGCGTGCCGCCATTATGAACTCGACTCTTCCTTGTATGGCGTCCAAAAGTCTTCACTTTATTCAACAATTAGATTTTTTGTAGAGGAATGTTTCTAAAAAATATCACCATCACCCGACCTTGTAAGATATATAGCTTTACTCATCTTCATTCATGTAAACCTCGGATTCCCACATCCATGTTTTTGCGGTTGGAATCCCCATGAAAATCTCCATAGGTATCCCCAAAATTTTCTTTGATGTGTGAGTAGGTGTAAGCCATGTTTGACCCCGAAAATTCGTTCAATAAATTTAAGGCGATTCTAATTGTGAAATTACCATCTGTGCATGAAGCAAGGCTTCATTAAAATAGACGACACGTGCAGCATCAGGGCAGGTTATTTGGGACAATCACCCATTGTTTTTCGAGGAATCGAAATTAATCAACTGAATTTAATGAAGTTCTCTCTGATAGGTCCAGGACATCCCTTTTTGGATTAGTGTCAGATTGGACGAACTTGGCTTTAAGCGTGATGGACAAGGATTATGATCTTCCATCTCTTGGATGGCGCGTCACCAGCGCGATCAAAGAGCAGATTGAGTCCGCGGTGACACAGAAGTATGCCTATATGGGTAGTGTAGATATGCTTATAAGCTGCTCGTTTGCCCATTTGCCATGGCTGTAATGTTCTGTAAGCTGTCATGCACATGTTACAGGTTTATGAATTGTCAGTTGTGCCTGGAATTTTGAAAAACTTCTGACCAGTGTTTGGATTTCAGTTGAGTTGGTGGTTATTCTGATTCGATGAGCAGTAGCACAAAACCTCATCAACCATCCTCAGCATACAAATCACTTTAAACCATTTTCTCTTCTAACTTGACTTCCTCATCTTGAAACTTGGAAACCAGATCAGCTTTACCAATCAAAACCTTTTATTATCTCTCGTCCCAATAATCTCAATGGCTGCCGTTGCCTCATTACCACCCTCTCACTTTCCTCGCACCCTCTCTCAACCGAGAGCTCTCCACTCATCCAATGTAGATGAAAGAACCGACCTGGGCGAAGGTACTTCTTTCAATCAAAAGTCACTCAATGCGGTCACACTTCTTTCGAATGGGTTTCCATCTGCTTTACTACCAACAGAAGAAATTCCAGGAGACGATCAAATCGACGTCAACTCAAATCACACTTCAACCAGAGAGCAACTTCTTCAACCTCGAAATTCAGCTCACGCATCCTTGAAATCTCGAGGACAGCTTTGGCGGGATGCGTTGAAAACCCCAATCGAGTTCACGGCTGGTCGAAGACTGACGACTGGAAATGAAATACCTTACGAGCCAATCAACAGACCCATTCTTCCTGGCCAAGGCAGAGGCGTGCTGATAACCGCCATTGGTCCTCCTACATCTGAGGACGATGAGGACGAGGGTCCCTCGGACACGCCGCCGTTGGCTAAATCCCTCCCTTCGGCTTCGAGCCAACATCCGGCAGCCAGCGCATCTTCTGATCCCTCCGCTTCCACCGCACCAGCTAAATCAAGCAGTAAATTGCGAGGCCAGTTGGGTTCTGTTTCCAAGGCGAGCCTGAGTGTTACCAAACCCATTGCCACCATCTGGCCTAAACTGCAACGTATGGGACCTGGCTTTCGTAACGCTGGCAATACCTGCTTCCTGAATGCTACACTGCAAGCATTGGTTTACACCCCTGCCCTGGCTGTTGGTCTCTTAGATAGACAAGAGCATACTCGTGATTCATGTGAGTATGCCTTCATATGCCTTCAGAAGTTTTTAATGTACTCGACAGGCAGGCCATAAGCGTTTTCCTGGACGCTGAAACTTGCTCTTATACTCACAGGTCGATTGTCGCATATTAAGAACTTTTGCGCTCTTTGTAGTATGCGCAACCTTATCAGCATGTGCCTTGAACCGAACAAAACTGCGAGAGTCATCGAACCAACACCCATCACTAACTCTTTGACGAGTGAGCGTTTCTAGTAGATCCCACAAGAAGCCTCCCCCAAAGCCCGCTGACCATGGATACCTGATGTTTTATGAGCAGAAATCGCACCACGCATGAGAGGCGGTCGGCAAGAGGATGCTCACGAGTTTCTAAGATTGTTAATCGAAGCTATGCAGAATGGAGCCCTCGGTGGCCAAGAAGCGTGAATACTCTATTCCATACAAAAGTCTCCCTGTAACACTCCGTTGATGCTCTGTGTTATATCCAGCCAAGCGAAACAAAAAGACAAGGAGGCAACTTTCATCCACAGAATGTTTGCTGGAAAGTTTCGATCACGAGTCACTTGTCAGCACTGTGAAGGCACCAGCGATACGTTCGATACCTTTCTCGATCTGAGGTAAGCCAGATTCATGGTGAGCAAAAGACTTGCCTGCTGAATTCGTTCTACTTTTAGTCTGGACATCGGCGAAGCCAACAACGTTCCTAATGCGTTGAGGAAGCTGCGTAAGCTCGATCTTTTGAAAGGAGCGAATCAATACAAATGCGAAAAGTAAGCCACACAGTAGTATCACATCTTCTGTCTCATCTTTTCGCTTCGCCGAAACCCGTGTAGCTTATTTCTGCTGTCCATCCTTCACAGATGCAAACGACTGCGGGATGCCAAAAAGGAACTGTCGGTCCATGAGGCTCCTCCCATTCTCACGCTGCATATCAAAAGGTTCAATTTTAGGGGTAAAAAGATCAACAAGCGGATACAATTCAGCGACTCGCTGGACCTGAACGCAGCTATGGACAAAGATGCACCTCACACTCGATACAACTTGTACGCTGTCGTGTGTCATCAGGGTCCCAGTAACACCAGTGGGCATTATTACTCCTACATTAAGACGTCGGATAGACAGTGGTACAGAGCGGACGACTGCTCGATTGACCGCGTCGACCGTGGTCAGGTGTTTCGCAACGATGAAGCGTATATATTTTTCTACTCGCGTGACCCGGAGGATTTCCTGGACGCTGCGATCCATCAGGATCGCCGTTCGGCTACTGCCCACTCGGAATCCAGTTTACGGAAACGGAAGAATAGCCAGGCACCGCTCGATTCCTCTCAGACAGCATTGGACGGAAGCGAACAACAATCGAATGAAGGGACCAATCAGTTGTCCAAGAGACCAAAGCTGATTGATCTGCCAAACTTCAAAAAGAACGCCCAACCCAAGATAATCGGGCCCATGCTTCCTCCCGCTCGGTCGGAGCAACCGACGAACTCCAACCCCCAGGGAACGTTGGAGAACGCTTCACCCCAGCATTCAAATTCGATGGCTGACATCACCGCCTCCACCATCGAACCGACTGAGGACCTCGGCGAGATCGTCCCGCGCCCAAGCACAGGATCATCGGGTGGGGGTGCGAAGGGAAATGGTCAGCATCAACGTAACAAACCAAAACACCGAGTGCTGATCAATGGTAATAACCATCATCGGCAAACCACCCATCATCGGCTCAACTCAGTGTCTAACTTGCAACCCAAGATCATACGAGGCTGATTAATTGAAAATTGTTGTTCTTGCGACTCATCGTTGTTACCCTTCATGCTTGACTAATTAGCTTTCTCCTTGGCTTCTTTGAGTGCTTCTAGATTCTACAGCTTCGCCTTATATTTGTTCGTTTCCCTAAAAGACCAGCTCATTTGACCAAATAGTAATGAAACGATCCGCTTTATATTTCTACGCGTTCCCATGAGATCACATCTTTTATATCGAGCATGACCAAAAGTTCGAATACCTCCTTGGTCTCACATTTTGCTTGTCCGTGCTTCAGATAAACTCGTCAATTGATCAGAGCGATTACCAGCTCCATTTCGTTTCATCGGACCTGCAGTACTTCGTAGTTTGCAACATCTGTTTGTCGTATACATGTTCCCACCGGAGTCGGAAATACCCTGCGGGCGATAACGTGCTCATCCTCATCAACGTGTCTTAAAAAAATGATATATAGCGACTCTATTCCTGCAACTCGTGAGCAGCATCCTCGGTTCCATACACACATCTTTCCACCCCTCCTATCCATTTGCCAACCTTCGATTTATGGTTTCAATACTACATTAAGTTTGTCTCTTAGCAAATTTGTTCTCATTTTTTTTTGATTGTTCAAACTAAAGTGATTTTGGTCACATCATACGCTTCCCCCTTCTTTCAAAAGCCCATATTACCCGTGTCCGATACAGTCCGTGTTAGTATATCGGCTAGTATGACCGCCTTTCATTGTGCAAGCGCGCGGTAGAGACGGGTTCGATTCCCGTACGCGGAAGCTTTTTGCTGACTGGCGGAGCAGTCTTGACTCTTCGGGTTTCTCCGCTATCACCGTGTCCGGGTAGTGTTTGCTTGTCGACAAGTGCGCACGACTTCCCTTTCTGCCTCAAAGGGAGTTGGTGTGCACTCGTCGACTAGCAAAGCCTACACAGACATGGTGTATATAGAAGAGCAATGCAAAGGGCACATGATAACCTTGCCATATCTGCCACCTCTTGTGTACCCAAGCAATGCTTAGAACTCAGCATAATCTACCTTGGTGTGATGGATTTTTCATAACACTATGGTAGACTGTTGCAAGTACTTACCATGTTGTACTGTTATGGTCACAGACAACCATATTCAAGGGTTTGATTTGGTACAGTGGGACCGTTACACACCATACCACACTTAAGAAAAAGAGTGGTGAAAGGATTTCAACAAGAGGCAAGAAGCTGTAGATCAATCTGCACTCTGCAATAGCAATAAGGTCAAATTTTATTGTGTTGCATAGCAATTGCAGTATTGCCCATACCACCTGCCCAGAGCTGAGGAGCCCTATGTCACCAGGAGTTTTGGTCTCACCACTGAGGGGAGCAAGGTGTTTTGAATAAAAGATAGAGGGGTAGATATCATGTATTATCAAGAAACTTCTGGAAGCCATGCCCATCATGGAGAGCTCAATGCACTGAAGGATTTTTTTACCTCCATATTGCAGAGTGCAGGCTCTGCTATATATAGCAGGGCAATTGTGGTATCTCTACAAGTGGGCTCATTGTCTTTCTGACAGCAGGGAAGGGTTTGGTTCTGTGGTCTTTCTGACTATCCAAATTTTGAACTGTACAGGCCTAATGATGTAACAAAGAAACTACAAGTGATGTGGCATAAGATCCTACATAGTCAACTCTGAAACTGTGAAATGTGTCAAACCTTTTGGCCGAGTTTCCTGCCAACACATCATAACAGAACTTGAATGCAGGTGAGTCTTTGATAAATCAAGGAGCTTAGGTTCTCCCAAGAGCTAATAAAATTGAAAGCTGGCAGGTCAAAACCTTTTGATAAAGAGAGTGCAGATGAATGTGTCAAACTTTTCAACTGAATTCCCATCATAACAGAAGGCAGGTGAGTCTTTGATAAATCAAGGAGCTTATATTCTCCTGAGAGCTAAGAAAAGTGAAAGCTGGCAGGTCAAAACCTATTGATAAAGAGAGTGCAGATTGAGTGAGAAAAGAAGTAGGAAAATTTGCCTGCACTTCTTCTCTTGTCCTGCCACTCTCCATATAAATTTGCACCCCCTTACATGTCAATTCATGTGGGATCACAAGTTTTGTAATTTTAGGCACACCAGGGGGCTCCTTTTGGGCTTTTCAAAGGTGCACCCCTGGTGGGGGTGTGGAATGCTCCCTCAGGGCATATAAAAATCAAATAAAGGTTCAAAGAATGCAAATTTAGAGGCACCAAAGCTGTTTATAGTGTGTATTTATTTATGATGTCTACTTCAATGGTTGCCTTGAATGTAGATACAGCATCTAAATGTCAAAAAGGTACAACGTAACCACATGGATTTTTCCTGGTGCTTGAGTCTGCAAATTTGTTTATTGGTCCTCCAACTACAGCATGTGTTCCACCTTTTCATACTACCTTTCAAGTTGAAAAGTCTTCCACTTTGTTTGGTCCATCCACCCTAACATTTTCTTTTCATCTTGATGTCCTTTTATTCCTTTGTTTCCTCTCTGTCCATTGATGCACATACAGTGCAATTTATCCAAAGTTGATTTGCATTTGGTGAATAGAATTTCTTTGATTGTGTCTATCAATGAGTTTATTCATCTCATTCCTCTTCAAGGTTGTGTTACCCATCTTTATGTCAAAGCAATATGATTCATATGTAGCACACATATGTTCATTCAATTTTCCTTTGAATTGTCTTATATTTTTTGCTTTTTGCTCTCACCAATCATGCTTTTCAAAAAGCACCTGATTTTAAGTCCTGTATAACATCCTGCTTTTCAATTCCATCCTCCTTTGTTTGTCTACTTGATTTCAATCTCCGTATAGCAGCTATCCTGCTCTTAAATCATGTTGTCATTTGATTGTTCATTTTTATTCAAAGCACTTCAGTTCAAGCTCAGTATGAAATGTGACCTTTGCTAAGAATTGTCTCACTCCCCAATGCATCTTACCCCTCCTCAACTTCAATAACCCAATTTGACTCTACCCTGCTTGCTTTTATACCTTGCTCACATATACCCCATCAATCTCTACAGAAATTCTCCTTTCCTTTCCAACATTATCCAACTTTTTCAAAAAACTGTCATCTTTGCTTCTCTTTATCTTTTCAAATTTAACTGGAAATGTCTATCACCAACTCTTCCAATACAAAGATTAAGAATAGAATTTTGCATCTTGCATGTTTCAGGTCCAATGCATGTTTATAAGATTGTTGGTCTTAACAGTTATTGCATTTGAATTTCTATGAAGTGTACCTTGGTGTGCAATGGATGAGATGAGATGATGTAACAAACATAATTGTGGTTAATTAAGGAAGTACTGGGCAGGCCAAAGAGAGTGTGCTCTGGGTGGACAATTGTTTTTATAGTGAAAGGAGAGGTTTATCACACATCACCTGAATAGTGCAACAATTGGGCATGGTAGCAGTACAAGAAGAACATAATGAAGTTGTGTAAAACAAACTTGCAGGCCCCCTGTTGCGGCATGCCTGCCTGTTTGTAGTTCATCACAAAAAAGTTCTGAAATTGGGTATGGTGGTGTGGTCATGAGCTTTTCCTGTCAATGGACAAATGGAAATATTTCCATTGGTTTCCATGCACAGATATTGACAAGCCCCCCAGAGTTGATCTTTCTGTCAATGTGTGGTGTATCTTGTTTGGATGAGTACATTGAGTTTGTGTCAAGGTGGTTTATAGGAAGCCACCTTGCTTTACCTTGCAAATTAAGAATATTACATGATAGGACACGCCAACCCCCAATCTGGCCTGAGCTGATCACACTCCCCCAGGGAGCACCCTCATGGGGGTGCACTCTCACGCCACACTCACCATGTGAATTTCAATGGTGCTTGAGTATCTCCTGCAACTTACACAAACAGATTGAAATGTACTGATGTGTAACATTGCAGGATTGTGAAACACTTTCAGTATCCCAATTGCACACATGATGAAATTTTGAGTGTATTAGATAATAATATGAAGTGAATAGACCTAGCAAAGACAAAGAATGTAGGCATCAGTCTTGAGTGCCATCACAATGTTCCAGTCTGTCTATGCATTTTTAAGCCAAAAGGCTTATTTGAGAGCTACAAAGTAAGCAGGCATCTATAGTGATTGAACATGGCATCTTTTCTTGGGCTGGTTTCTATATGTGGAAGTGGGTTACAATATTGAATGTCAATCAGGATATCAATGGGGCATGTAGTGATTGCTTCATAATATATGTGTAGCCCATCTTCCTTCATCAGTAATAAAATAGTTTATTTACTTCTTTAAAATACAGTCAATCAAGATTCTGTTGACAACCATTTTTGATAGCAATACAGGCTATGTTATGACCATAACATTTTATTTGTACTTGGACAGCTCAGTGTTTTCACCACCACCACCATCCCATCTCATTGTTCAATACTCACACTCTCCACTTTAATCTATTCCATTTACTCTATATCCATTAGTACATCTTGCAATCATGTTCATCAAGTATACTATAGTGCTCAAATTCAAGTTATAGCCCTCAATGGATTTTTAGCCTGACAGACAATTCACTACACAAAATATAATATTTTCTAAGCAGAAAATATAAATACTGACATGCAAAATATTGAGCAGTCAGGAGGAGAGAGAAAGATACAAAAAAATATGCATATTGTTCCCATCAACGCCTGAAACGTCCAGCTGCAAAAAGCAGCAGCGGGGTGGCAGCGGGGCGGTCCGCCCCGCTGCCGCTCCAGAAATTTTGGGGTAGGGGGCCTACCCAATCCACCTTTGCTGCCTCTGTCAAAATCTGCTTGGGGCGGAGCGCAGAAAGAGCGCAGCGGCGCCAAAGTTCCGCTTTGACACCTGCACAGAGCACCTTGCAGCGATCCTGCAGTCTGATATCTCAAGCCAATAAAATAACAACAACACACAGGGATCATATGACCATATCAGACTAGATCCGACTGAATCTCACCTCCCTCCACCATCAAACAACCCAAACGCTGACCTGATTCCTCTCAATCAACCCTAATACCCTTCCTTCCATCAACAAACAACCCCAAAAACCTTTGGAATGCGACACGATCATCTTCTATCAATCACGATCATTGACACGCACCCCATCTAATCGATTCTAAAGCTTGAGTTTGTCATGTTTGGTGTGTCAAAGCCCTTTTTCCAGCTCATTTCCTCATCTTCGTATCCAAAAGACACAAGAAGTTTTTTTT